TAGGCTTGAGAAAAAAATTTCATTTGTCGATCACCATATTTTACATTTATACATCAACAACTCCCACGATTAATTGCTACTCGCTTTATTGTACAAATCGGCTGTGAATTTTGAAATGTTTGTCATAACTCTGGTTATAAAATCCAAGGTTTTTTCCCAGACCTGTTCACTTCACATTGCCATTAGTCAACCTGCAAAATGTGTCGTAAAAGTCACCAAAATGGATCTTTTCCTACTTTATCTTTGTACATTACAAAAAAGGGGAAATATTCGAGGACAATAACTCCTCCATCACGATTACATGTATTGCAGTAATCATCAATAGCACACACAAATCGGTGTCCCCCTAAAGACGCTTTTGCCTTCTATTCGGTAGTCCTAAGTGTGGGTTTGTACCTACGCCCGCGCCAGTCTGTATACAACAGTAGGAATTCCGTTAAGCCCTGTCAAAATGTGATCGAATTATTAAGACCTTAGTCATCTTCAAATCATAAAGGCGAGATGTACAAAGAAAGTGGGGGGTGCTTATCAAAAGGAGAAAAAAATATGAAGGATCAGAAAGAACACTTTTACAAAATATGACGGATTATGGAGGGTGCTTGTAAAAATATGACGGATTAAAGGCGTATTTATCTGCAGGAGACCCCACACACAATGAGTAATTGCTCAAGAAACCTCTCATATTCCTACACATTTTACTGTATTTTTTACTTATCTAGTTACCTAATAACATGGTCTTAAGACGAAGAACTGCATATTTAGCTACAGTCATGGTAAGAATTGTGGTTGGATCAATTTTAACCCGTCTGATTACATGAAGTCTTGATTTTTTCTAACAAACATGTACCCCATCGATGGCAATGTCCTATACAAAAATTTAATTTTTTTCAATTGTTCATAAAAACAATTTAAACTGAAAAATTCAAAAAAAATTCTAGATGACAGTAGCCTCGAACAGGAAAGATTTTAACTTTGTCAAGGTCATATGAATATTTTTTGAAAATAAACTTATTCTAAATGTCATTTTATGAAATATTGTTTATAGTATTGTGTTAAAAACCACATATAAGAAGGTAACATCGTGACTTCACGACATTTGATTTTGACTGTATGCCTAGTTTTATGCCTAGTACTATATGTGCAGGAAACAGCATGAAATCATCTTGCAATTTAAACAAAAGTAAAAGACAAAGTAAAGAAAGAATATAGATATTATATTGTGGTAATTCTCTTTACAATAATTCAGGTGACATTTATTTGTATTGTATTTGAAATTCTGTTACGAAATATCATTGTATGACCTTTGGTTTTAGAGCAATGCAATTTTCCCAAGTCTGCACTCTTTACCATTTAAATTACAACCTCATCCGTTTAAAAATATAATGCATTGCACATTTGCAGTGGATGTCAGTGTTTTATAAGGTACAAATATTGGCGTTAGTCATCTCATAAAAATAGAAAGAAATTATAAATATACAACAAAAGACCTTCCATTATACATGAAACTAGGAGTTCCACAAAAAAGTGGTAAAAACAGTCTTGCTAAATTATGCTGCATTGGGAAACAGTTCTATTTTTTTTTTAACTGCGAAACTGAAACCAGACACTTTGACCTTGGAATGAAGCAAAGTTGCATATAAATGACAACCTTTACTCTAAACAAAAAAAAAAACAGGTTTCGTTAACAATATTATTATCATGAACATCGTATAGATGAATCTCTTGTTCAAAGTTGAATGAAAGATGACAAACTTATTTTCTGATATTCATGAAAATAACAAAAGTCATGGTTATGTAAGTAAATCAAATATTTTTAACTGCATAAATTTTAACTCTTTATTTAAAAAAAAATCACAATAATGCTTTTTAGAGATACAAAGCATAATGATTGTAAAGATTTTAAGGGAGATTGCGGAATGGTAGCACATGGAACCATCAAAGAAAGTTAATAATTTTTCAACGTTTCGGTTGATAATTGCCAAATTAGTCAAAAATTTACCTATCTATAGCTAGACATCCATATATTTTATAGAATCATCCGTCCTTGATCAAATATGGGTCTGATCGCGTTTAATTTGCAAGGCAACGAGACGTACGGAATATAGCGTTAATCACGAAGCACGGGGCAGGCTTGCCTTGAATGTACAAGTGAACGACTTTTGTATTCAGAGAGAATTTTATGTCCATTCCTCGTTCCCTGGACATAGAGTGGCACTGTAATCTATTTATAGATGGTATGGGATATACAGAATATTAATGAATATTTGACAAGATCGTGTCAATGAATGGCTCCGGCAGCCTATTAGTAATCGGCCATGTTCCCTTTAAAATGACCCGAAAAAATCATGTACGAGGTACTTTTGAGTGCAAACAGAACCAATACCGCTGTTTAAGGTAACGCAATTTACGCTGGAGTGAAATATATTCATGGTCCAATTTTCTATAAGACGATACAGAATTCAATTAAAAGGCAAAATGGTGAACCTATTCGCCTAACGGAGAGATGAAATTAGACCAATTCAAGTCATCTTCTTTCGTAAAATACAATATGAGGTAATAAAATGTGTAAGAAAACTGGGGAACTGGTTTCATGCATTCTTTCCTCTTTATATATATTTAGACTGATCAAACGTATACCAGACTTTGAACAGTCGTGAGCATTAAATAGTCCCCGTATTAAAGTGACTGATACATGTCAGACGCTTGAATGAAAAAAGAAAACGAAGCCGATTTGTGGCCCAGTGAACTACATTTCTCCGCGCAATGGTCTAGATACATCCGCGTAGTGACCTGACATTTAAGGTCAAAGGCGGTGTAAAAGTTGTTTGCGGGTTATTGCTTAAAGCATTAAATTAGACAAATATTACCTGTAGCCAGGTCACGGTGAAATTAACGTCTGTCAGATACAGGTGAAGATTTGAGTGTGTGTCTGTCAGTTTTATATCTAGCCCAATTAAACGGGGTTATAAGTCAGCCGGGTCGGTGTAAAGATGATCATCTCGTACATAAATCAAAATGCATGGTGAAATTTATCTTTGTTAAAAAAAAAACTTCCTTTAAACCTCCTGAAAAGAAGTCCCCTCTTGTCCGAATGAACGTGTACTATACGAAGACTGAAACGGTCAAACCGTTCAAAAATTCTAGTTGTAATGAATAAATGTATTACAGTATACATATACATATGCATAGAATTTCGAATAAGATATACAGGCCCCTGATACAATAGAGGGGAAATCAGTATTCTTAACATGTTGTTAATATATGGAAATTTACATTTTGGACAATAAATGACTAAGAAGTGCATTCAAGAAACAAGAGATCCCAGTGACTGTTTGCCTCTTTTCAAAATTGATTCGATATTCAGTAACAGTCAGTAAACTAAACAGTGACAGTACAGTCGTTACATATTTATACATCATGTATTCATGCATGATTGTCCCCATGTCTGTCTGTTAAACCTCCCCCGTTTCTACACGTATTGTAATCAAGCCCTGTATCAAAAAGATATGTTTTTTCTGTAGATCTATACGTTGTATAAGGAACATGCCCCTTTTAACAAGTTTTACCCCAGAAAGAAATTGTTTAACCGAAACTTTGAGTTAATCACTTCTTTAAAAGTTTAAGACAGTTCGTCCAAAGGAAGATTTGAAGTGGGGGGACTTTTAAAAACTTTAATCCACTTGAGAGCTTGTTTTGAAAAAAAAAAGAGATGAGAGGAATTAAGGAATGTCCAGTGTGGAACGGGAGGGGGTACCGGTATTTAGGGGAGGGGATGGGTCTGGACATCGCTCGCTAAATAGTACAAGTCCTCTCTCTTTGAATATACTAGTCTGTAAAATCGCTACAATCACCAAAATGACTCTAATTTTTTGAAATCGTCAAACTACGTATATTATGTCTAGGAAAGTGTCAACACGTGCAGCTTGGCCTGACGGCACTATGTATTAATGACCCCACTGTCTGCATATTCTGTTATATTACCTAATAAAGAAATAATTTCTCCCCTGATAATAATTAGTCCTTTGTTTTAGATTACACGTAATGAGGAAACGCGGCGGGTAATATCAAGCAGGAATACTTTTATCAAGGAACGGGACGAAAATATAATTAATGAAGATAAAAATTAATAAATAAATTTAAATGAAGATATTTACAAACCATAGAGTTAATCAACTCACGTGACCTACAGAACAGCTGACAGGGGATGTAAATTTCATGACTGAAGCAACCTATAGATATGGCGTCTTGTTTAAATTTATGTGCGTCTTACTGATTGTACATGCTCAATATTTATTTGAAGAGAGAATATAAGTTTCTATTACAATTCATCATCATAAGACTTCAGTCGCTGAATTTACAGTTGTGTGTTTTAATTATCATATTAATGAGCCTTGTGATTCTTTTTTGATAATTAAACTATAAATATCATTATATATTAAATACAGTACTTGGACCACTGTTAAATCTGACTTTGTATTCATATTCGACAAGCATTATTTCTTTTTTGCATTCATACAATGCACAATTGTCATCGGTCTTTTGTTCGTCGATATCAGATCATAAATCTGTTCGATTTGCACCGCAAGGAATTTAATTCCACGTGATTCGCTTGCACAGTGTCAGACAAGTTAATTTTATTTTTCTTCATGAGTTTTACCTTTATTGAATTGAACATATGGACATCTGAGAGAGAGAGAGAGAGAAAGAGAGAGAGAGAGAGAGAGAGAGAGAGAGAGAGGTTACTTCATTAATCAGTTTAATTAGTTTTTACAAATACAGTTATGTAACTTTAGCACCGTAGCATATAAAGGGCTCGAAATATGGGTCTCATATTTTTTTCATATTTCGTTGAGAACCCAAAGTAGACTGTTGGAGAATCTTACAAATTAACAGCAAGGAGAATGAGACGGATGCTGTTAATTAGAATCTTTAATTAACTTTTTGACCTCTGTAAGTGACTAATTAACTTTCGGACCCATATAAGTAAAAGATAGACCTACCTGATACTGCCAACAGAGAGGATACCAAAACCAAGATCCTGAGAGTGGACTCCATCTCCACGTGGTTTAAATCCTTGTCACTTTCAAAACGATGTCAGTTTCACACCTGTAACAGGTTACCGTTTGATTTTCAAACGTAGAATCAATTAATATCTCTTTCACTTCACCGACGAAAAAGAACAAAAAATCCTATGAACTTTAATTCATGATCTTTGATTTTTTTAGTCCAAGGTCCGAAGAATTTCATTGATGATTTCCAAAACCCCCAAAAATGTCAAACGCGCACCGAAATATGTCAACCGGTTTTCATAAAAGGAATGAAATTAAATGGTTGTAGAATTTCCTTTGATGAATATTTCAATCCATTGATCCGTTTGAAAACATGTTAGGGATAGGCGTTTTGGAGTATAGCCTGGTCGTAAGGCTTAGTCCCCAGAATTTTGATCGGACAAGTCCACTACTTCTATTAAGGTAACAAAAAAGTCCAAGCACACCTTATTCTCTAATTGGCTACTATTAAGGTGTATACACCTGAATAGGTATGAACTACTAAATGGAATAACAGGTATGAAATTGGACTCGTCCACCTGCAAGGGGCGTGCAGGTTTCCGGTTCTATAGAATACCGTTATTGATTTAGATAATACACAAAAGTTCGTTAGCGTCTTATTAGTGTAAATATTCTCAACCATGCGAGACGGCTTGAGGAATTATCTCCATGTAAAGGAGATTACAATGGAGGATTTAAAACGTTTCGATTGAACACGGTCTCACTTGCTCGGCTTTCGCGACCACGCTTTACCGTTATTTATAGACTTGATAAATTCCAAAATTCTTTTTTAGGAGATCGCGCCCTTTAATGATCGAAACCACCTATAAATTGTATACATTTTTTGTTTCATTAAGACAGTAATTAATAGTAGGTGTGTTGATTAGCAAAACAAATTATGTGTCAGGTTTGCTATTATTTATATCATATTTTGCGGTTCTGATTTATAGAGAATGTGTGTGTATTTATTAATAAAACTTTTTCAAAAAGTGCACCTGAAAACGACCAGCCTGACATGAAAAAGCACTTTGAATATAAATGAATCTTATTTCCTCCATTTATTATTTGACTGGAATTTTAAATCGCGACTTCAGTCGCTGAATTTACAGTTGTGTGTTTTAATTATCATATTAATGAACCTTGCGATTCTTTTCTGATAATTAAACTATAAATATCATTATATATTAAATACAGTACTTGGACCACTGTTAAATCTGACTTTGTATTCATATTCGACAAGCATTATTTCTTTTTTGCATTCATACAATGCACAATTGTCATCGGTCTTTTGTTCGTCGATATCAGATCATAAATCTGTTCGATTTGCACCGCAAGGAATTTAATTCCACGTGATTCGCTTGCACAGTGTCAGACAAGTTAATTTTATTTTTCTTCATGAGTTTTACCTTTATTGAATTGAACATATGGACATCTGAGAGAGAGAGAGAGAGAGAGAGAGAGAGAGAGAGAGAGAGGTTACTTCATTAATCAGTTTAATCAGTTTTTACAAATACAGTTATGTAACTTTAGCACCGTAGCATATAAAGGGCTCGAAATATGGGTCTCATATTTTTTTCATATTTCGTTGAGAACCCAAAGTAGACTGTTGGAGAATCTTACAAATTAACAGCAAGGAGAATGAGACGGATGCTGTTAATTAGAATCTTTAATTAACTTTTTGACCTCTGTAAGTGACTAATTAACTTTCGGACCCATATAAGTAAAAGATAGACCTACCTGATACTGCCAACAGAGAGGATACCAAAACCAAGATCCTGAGAGTGGACTCCATCTCCACGTGGTTTAAATCCTTGTCACTTTCAAAACGATGTCAGTTTCACACCTGTAACAGGTTACCGTTTGATTTTCAAACGTAGAATCAATTAATATCTCTTTCACTTCACCGACGAAAAAGAACAAAAAATCCTATGAACTTTAATTCATGATCTTTGATTTTTTTAGTCCAAGGTCCGAAGAATTTCATTGATGATTTCCAAAACCCCCAAAAATGTCAAACGCGCACCGAAATATGTCAACCGGTTTTCATAAAAGGAATGAAATTAAATGGTTGTAGAATTTCCTTTGATGAATATTTCAATCCATTGATCCGTTTGAAAACATGTTAGGGATAGGCGTTTTGGAGTATAGCCTGGTCGTAAGGCGTAGTCCCCAGAATTTTGATCGGACAAGTCCACTACTTCTATTAAGGTAACAAAAAAGTCCAAGCACACCTTATTCTCTAATTGGCTACTATTAAGGTGTATACACCTGAATAGGTATGAACTACTAAATGGAATAACAGGTATGAAATTGGACTCGTCCACCTGCAAGGGGCGTGCAGGTTTCCGGTTCTATAGAATACCGTTATTGATTTAGATAATACACAAAAGTTCGTTAGCGTCTTATTAGTGTAAATATTCTCAACCATGCGAGACGGCTTGAGGAATTATCTCCATGTAAAGGAGATTACAATGGAGGATTTAAAACGTTTCGATTGAACACGGTCTCACTTGCTCGGCTTTCGCGACCACGCTTTACCGTTATTTATAGACTTGATAAATTCCAAAATTCTTTTTTAGGAGATCGCGCCCTTTAATGATCGAAACCACCTATAAATTGTATACATTTTTTGTTTCATTAAGACAGTAATTAATAGTAGGTGTGTTGATTAGCAAAACAAATTATGTGTCAGCTCTGCTATTATTTATATTATATTTTGCGGTTCTGATTTATAGAGAATGTGTGTGTATTTCTTAATAAAACTTTTTCAAAAAGTGCACCTGAAAACGACCAACTTGACATGAAAAAGCACTTTGAATATAAATGAATCTTATTTCCTCCATTTATTATTTGACTGGAATTTTAAATCGCTTTTAAAAATGAAATATTAAAAAATGTCAACGAAATCAATGCAGTATACAAATAGGGGGGGGGGGGGATAAGAATATTAAGTTGCGATATCTCAAATAAAAAAAATGAATGTAGATTTATTAAAAAAAATAATACTACTATGAAAAAATGTATTTCCGATTTAACAAATATTATTTCAAATATTCTTAATTTTAAAAATTCGTTTTCATCTAATTTTTTCTTCATGAATCCTAAATCTGTTTTAGTTTGTTAGAATGCTGGATCCGCTCCCTCTATTTATTGTCTGTTGGCGGACACCCGTCCCACGTGTTCGGTGTGACATTTTTATTATTACATGTCTATCACGCCGCCTTGCAGGCGATTTCTCCAATACATGTGTATGAAAAACCTCATTGTATTTACAAGTACTATACATTAATTGCACACACATACCTTTGTAAAATCTAACGAAGAAATAGAGCGATAAAATCGATTAAAACAAATTTATAGATGCCATTTATTGTGCCATGTTTGCAAAAATAAATAAACAAATAAGTTGAAATAACCCAATCGGTAATACCGCACGCACATATACTCTACAATTTGAAAAGTATATAACACGTACTTCAAGAAAAAATTAAAAGAAAATACGGTATTTTGTGAATTTTTTGAACAATCTTTGGCAATGAAAACAAGTTAAGGAAATTGTCCAAAATTCGTAAATCTAAATTCTTATTGTGGGGTAAGGAAGAGAGATTTTAGCCATTTTTCAAACAATTTCATTCATACCGTCTTATTGGACGTCGACATGAATATGAATATATATATATATAGCTGCAGATCTGTGGCGTTATGGTTTTTATATATTTGTCTTTGACCATAACGCTAGTGGATAAAATATACATATTGGCTACAGAATGTGTCTAGAATTAGGGAGTGAAATGTTGTTGATTGACCGATGCTGGAAAGTGGAGAAATTCTCCCCAAAACTGCGCAAGAAATATTGCGCCGTAAATTGCACCTTTTTTGCATTACGGGATCTGTAGCGTTATGGTCAACGACAAATATATAAAACCATAACGCTACAGATCTGGAGCTAGAATACATACTGCAACGAAAAGTGTGTTGGGAGTGCGGCAACAAAAGTAGAAGACAGTCGGGCTGTAAGCTGGTTGTTATAACTGAAAAGGGATTATGTTGAATTTTTTTTCTTCACTCACAGATGACGAATATTTAGCGGGTAATCTATTTACATCCTTGTAATGAGTAGAAATTCTGCTATTAAACTCACGAAATTCAATTTAACTGGGTCCGAAGAGCATACATGTAAGCTACTTTGGCATGAATTGATTTGGCTTACACCTTTGAAAATTCAAATTATTGAGCGATTTGAAGAATATGCACGAACATGACGAATAAACTAATGTCTTTTTTAACCATTTATAGTTAAGCTATGATTTATACCCTAAATGCGCCAATAATGATTGTTTTATTTGTTTACCAATAATATAATTCAAATAAGTTATCGCACAAAATAATATTTGATTCATCCACAAACGATTCCGCCCTTTAAAAGAAATTAAGAGAAATATTTTTTGCAAGCAAATGATGAGACCTCTTACATATATTCAAGGATATCATCGATCAAATTCTTGTGGTATTTTAAAGGAAATTTTTGCAATTACGTCTCAAATAAGTTTATTGTTATTTTTAAACGGCGAATAAAGATTATAATTAATGATGTTATTAAGATGCTATATGAATATACATTAGGAATGTAAATGATCCCAGCAGTTCGTATAAAGTATCACATAAGAAAGGAAGAAAATTTTCCTGTATCGGATATTTTGATTAGTTTATTGATTAACACTGATTAACCTCCCTTTCAAAAATCAACAATAAAATAAAGAGAGTTATCTTTCTTGAGTGAACAAACTATGTACGACGTGTATACATGTACAAGATCTACATCGTATCTCTGAATTTTATTTTATTTATTAATTTTTTTTTGTAGAAGAATATTTTTTTGCTCTTTTGTTTTAAAATGAGGGGATGTTTAAAATAAACATCTATGTAAATACATTTAAATAATGTTTTAATAAAGAGTGACATTTTAATGTATGATGTGGATATTGTACATACATGTATATATGTTGTTTAACACGATTATAATCAACTACTTTATTAAAATACGCTACATGTATGTCAGGATAAAATGCAAGTATAAAATATACCATAAAAAACTTAGAATTTCAAAACAATTAAAGTGCCACAGTTATATTTTGAAAATACGTATTATATAAATATATTGTAGCCTCGTTTATTTAAAGTAAGAAATATATGTATTTATGAACACGAAAAAATTATAATTAACAACTTTTGTTTATGTTTAAATTAAATAAACACACACAAACACCGCCCAAAATGTTGAAATATTTTATTGAAGAATAATCATGAACCCTTATGATACTAAAACTTTGCTAAATTTATGTAAAAAATAACTATGACATGACATGATTCCTTTAGTAAAATTTTAAAGTTGCTATCATTAGATAAAGACATGCATATGAAATACAAAAACATTCAAAACAATAATAGTGCCACAGTGATATTTTGAAAGTGTAACGTATTCATAATGAACAAAAAATATATTGTAGCCTCGTTTATTCGTAAAGATAAGAAATATAAATTTTGGTTTTGAAATTTATTACATATGGTTAAATCTTTGTATGGAAGTTAGATATCCAAAAAGAAAATTCAGTTAAATAATGTATTAGAGGTCCAAACAACAATGTTATGTATATGTTTATGTTTCAATTTAAATAAAACACACACAAAAACCTTCATTGAGCTCTTATAGTTAGTAAATGATTTTTTGTAAATTCAAAATTCTTTTTGAAAAATATTTTCATAAACAATGTATCTTTTAGAGAATCACTTTGTAAATTAAGAACCTCTTATTGTTTGGAAATTGAACATGGTGATTTAAAGGTATTCCTGCAGAAAATAGATTTTGTCTCTTCTGTCAAATAGCAAATAAGAATTGTATTGAAAATGAAAAGCACTTTTAGAAAATTGTGAATTATATATGGATATTGTAAACTGTAATATTTTGAAACACTTAAGATTTTATATGAATATGCTTATATATGGAAAATTGTTAAAGCAAAATTTACCTTTTTAGCTTTTAAAGAGAGGGAAAAGTTCATTGAGAATTTAATATGTGATAATTTATAAGACTATATGCTATATTGTATACACCTACTAAAATTGTAAATATAACATTGTAAAATATGAATGTAGATACAATAAATTCAATAAATATCACACATCACAATTCATCATGAGCGCAAGTAGTTGTGAGGAGTATTTTTGATACCTTTTACATTTTTATGTATACATATTACTGCAGTGCAAAAGAAATTAAATATTTTCATTGCATGAACAAACTGATCAATTGACAGCTTAGAACTGCACGTCAGGGGAATAACCTAACAGATATACGCATTATACAGATTATATTCGTATGATGTCTTAAAGTTCAATCTTAAGCAGTCCAAGTTTCCCATTTTTAATTTGTAGGTACATTCTGCGCCATTTTGTTTTCATCTGTGTTGTCGTTAGGGATAATGTTAGAGGATTCCCGAGTAGACACAGAGGGGGCACTATCCGTGTCATCCGAGTCGAGCTTGCTTAGTTCCCGTTTTATCATGGTTTGCATTTTCTCCTTATTCAGTCCATCTTCGTTATTCTGACTCTATCAATAAAATTCCATGTAGAAATAAAATTTAACATACAACACAATCTTTAATTTTGGAACACGTTAAAACGCAGAGAGAGAGAGAGAGAGCAAAATTATATGTTTCCGTTCACTTTGGTAAATCTTACCTCATTCATATAATTCAGAATCTTTGAAATGGCGTCTCGTCGTTTCAGTTTGGCTTTTTCGATGTTAACCAGCCTGGATAGTACAGAGTCGATCCGGCCTATAACGCCCCCTATGGTGAATTCCATTCTCTCAACACGTTTACACAGGTGCGTATACTCCTCGTACAACACCCCCGAGAATCCGCCCCTCTTCTGTGTAGATCCTGAATCCTCCTCCTTATCACTGTCATCGTTCTCGCTGACCTGGGTGCCATTCTTATCCTCAAGGTCATTGTACTCCTTGTTAATTTGCTTCTGGAATTCAAAAAAAGACATTTTCACGTTGAAGACATGCATTTACGAAATTTATTGTGTAACGCTTCATCTTTGATTAAAAATGGCTTCCAAACAAGATTAAATCAAAGATACAAATCTATGGATAATTTCCCCATGATACTTTGATTAACACTCATAAATGAGATATTACATGCATGTATAACTAAGTTAATTGCTTGAATTTTCAGCCTTTTTCAAATAAAATGGAAGAAAGCTTTTCTTTTTAAAAAAGAAAGACAATTCCTCATTTGCCGATGTTGCAATTATAGCATTCTCCATGCTTTTTGGCAAAGTTTTATTCTGACCCTCTCTTGCCACTACTTTATATAAATAACCTTCTGAGCGTCTAGATCCTGTCGTAGTCTCTCTTGCTCTTCTTTATCCAGGTACCGGGAACCATCGGCGTCATACTTACAGAACAGAGCCTCGATTTCACATTCGGCGTAACCACGTCTGTAAAATTGTAAAATGTAGTAAAATTGACCTAGGTAAGCTTTGATTGTGTTTTTTTTTGACTAAATTAACTCAATGACTAAAAAAAAAAGTTTAAAAACTTTTACTTTAGGAGATCTTGGCGCCATTCCTCAAAGTCGATTTTCCCGTCATCATTGGCGTCGGCATACTTGAGAACGTCGTCCAGATCAAGAACCCTGTCTTCTTTTGCATGAATCTTCCCCAACATTTTCCTGTATTTCTAAATATCGTAATAAGAGAAGGTTGGGAAAAGCAGACAATAAAATAGAGCAATGAGATATAACTCTAAAATATCAGTTCGCGATTTCTCCAATTTTTGTTGAAATTTTACCATATTGAAAATAAACTGAAAAAAAAAAACAAATGGAGGTAAGGTACTAGTTCTTCTTCGGCTCAAAATTTAATAGGTATCGAGCAATTCATTGATTTTCTCCATTAAGATATGAATATCCCCTAAATCGTTAGATCATGTAGATGGAATTTTTATTGCCCCTTCATGCGCTTAAGTATCAGTCACATTATCCAGCGATGGGGTATACGATGAGAAACCGATGCGTTTTTTTGATAAAAATGGCGTGGTCGCCGGCCGGACACCTATACTAATCGGACGGTGACTGAGGCCATTTGCCGAGTCGGTGGGGGTCATCGGTAGAAAATATGTTGTAGTTAAAAATCTGCGATGTCTCCATGGATGCCCCACATCGCTCCTCATCGGCAACCCATCATTAATACATCTTTCAAGGACTGGCCGAGCATCGTCAAGTGTCCGTTATATCTGAGGTCATGGAGGGTGGGGTGGGGGCGGGGTTGAGTGTTGGGCAACAGTCATCGCCTGGAAATCGGTTGATGTTTGACCAAACATTGCCCCATAGTCGACCGACGTACGAACGATGTTCACCAATGTATGAGCGATGTAATATACATCGGCCGATTACCTTGGAACATCGTTTTGTGATTAGCAATGCCTTGCTGGGCCTCTGTAAGTCCGACCGGCAACCAAGCCATTTTAATCAAAAAAGCATTGGTTGCACATCGTACATGTATACCCCATCGCTGGATAATGTGACTGATACTTAAGGACTACTAGGCCGATGTGGACCGATGTTGGGGCATCGCTAACACTACAGATTACTACCGGTCTATGGCCACCGGCCGGCATATGTGACTAAGGCATTAATGATATGTCATGTCCCATTAGAAAATTTTCAATCAGAAAGAAAAATATGGCATGGAGCAGGTGTCTGCAACTACCTATTCATATTAATTTGAAGTGTTGGTAAATTCAACATGAAACCGTCATAAGGTACGATCAATTCTAAAAAAAATATTTTAAGTGCATTTACACTTTGTTATTTTCAAATTAACTGATAATTGTTTAAGATTATTTTCATTTTATTCCATGAATATTTATTTCAGAGATCCCTTACACTCAAGAAGTACTCGGAGATTTGAAAATCATCCTGTTGATTGGCCAGCTCGCTCTTCACCTCGGAGTACGTGTCGTTGATAATGGCGAGGAACATGTTGACGAGAATGAAGAAGATGAAGAAGATAAAGAGAAAGAAGAAGGTAGGTCCTAAATAGCGGTCCACGGCCCTCAGGGCATAGAAATCAAAACTGCCCAGGATTATGTTGAAAAGCGCAAAACTGGAATGGAAATTAGAGATTTTTTTTTCTTAATTATTAGGTGGGGTAAATGTAAAATTTACAAAAAGTAAAGAATGATCTAGTTAATCTACAAAATGATTTATAGCAATCAGCTGTTGTACATGTACTTAAGCAAGAATATCAAATTTTGGTACTTTTTATATGGTTAAATGAAAAGAAAATATGAGTCATAAATAGCAAAGCTTGTGTCTAGTATTAAAACTTTTTATTTTAATACAAAAACGTAATTAGAGTTAGGTTTAATAGTAACATTTGTTCGACGCCAAGAATACATTAATCAATGGAGTCATTGTAAACGAATAGCTTAATTTTTCCTTACATTTCATAGAAAAAAAACCAAGGTAGCTTACAAGGAACTCCCGAATTCACTGAACTCTTTCAACTTTGACCCAAACAGTAGGTATCCCAGCTGTGTGAACGCCAGGAAGACGATAAAATACATGACAGCGAACCCCATCAGGTCCTTAGCACAGCGGGCCAGGGTTGAGGAGAGCTGGTTCATCGTCTTGTTGAAGCTGACGTACTTAAACAGCTTTAAAAAAAGTATCATTGTAAATAACGTCATTGTGTTTTGGTAAAAATTATTAAGTTTCCCTCTCAAATAAAATTTTTAAGAAATAATTCAACACTACTTGAAAGTTTTTTTCAGGACATACGCAAGGTACCTTAAGATATTCTAAATTTAAACTTATAATACCATTACATATTCCTAGACAAAAAATCAGCATGCGTTACCAGGGGTTTTGAAAAGATATCAAATTGTGAAAATGTTTGCATTATTCATACAAAAATTACAAAACATAAATTACAGATTTTGTTTTCATCAAAAATTGTTTTAGAAGAGGTGTACAAATCCATATATAGACATTAAAAGTATTGCACACAAGTCCTTCATTCAGTGGAACTCTTCAACTCCAATAAAGTTCAAACTACGTTGCGTATGACCTTAAATAATAATTTTGCACGGTTCAGACAGAAACCAGAGATATAGTACATGTACAGGATTGAATATATTTGAATAAATCGACATTACAGAATGTCTGCAAATGCGAGATTTTATATCAAAGTTGCATAATGTGATGCTAAAGCATACATAAAGTTAATACTTAAACGATTTTCACGCAATATTCTATACTATTGGGGCTTGAAAATCAGAAAATTCTTCTATTGTCAATTAATATTTCTGTGAAAAAAGATTATTATAACCCTAACAAACAAATACTATAGTTAACTATAGTTATAACTTTGACACTTTGAAAACTTTGATTTACTATAGTGATATCTTTGACACTTTGAAAAACTTTGGCGAAAACTTTGACACTTTGGAAAACTTTGACAAAAACTTTGACACTTTGAAAAACTTTGACGAAAACTTTGACACTTTGAAAAACTTTGGCGAAAACTTTGACACTTTGAAAAACTTTGGCGAAAACTTTGACACTTTGAAAAACTTTGACGAAAACTTTGATACTTTGAAAAACTTTATCGAAAACTTTGATACTTCGAAAAACTTTGACACTTTGAAAAACTTTGACGAAAACTTTGACACTTTGAAAAACTTTGGTGAAATCTTTGACACTTTGAAAAACTTTGGCGAAAACTTTGACACTTTGAAAAACTTTATCGAAAACTTTGATACTTTGAAAAACTTTATCGAAAACTTTGATACTTCGAAAAACTTTGACACTTTGAAAAACTTTGGCGAAAACTTTGACATTTTGAAAAACTTTGGCGAAAACTTTGACACTTTGATTTACTATAGTTAACTATAGTAAACTATAGTTAACTATAGTATTTTTTTGTTAGGGAATTTTTGGGGGTTTGTAATTAAAGGGGATGTCTTTTGTTTTTTATTAACAGCAAGTCTTCGGATTAATGTACATGTGTACAAAATACAATTCATATACCTTGACCCAGGCTAGAAACACTGTAATGGCGATGGCGTTGTCAAATCTGACTTGCCAAAGACTGAGAAAGTCAAAATCCTCGAAATGGTTGCTAGTATATGTTAATTTTTCCATCTTTTTGTCCACTTCAAGAGTTCGATAGATATCGAATGCCAGAAACACAATAGATATGACGATAACCGTTACGTCGAGGATATTCCAAACGCTTCTGAAGTACGCAAGTTTATGAATTTTTATCTGGAAGAAATGAACTGAATGTTTGAACATGTTGAATGTTGATTGTAGCAAATTGTAACGTTTCTTAGACTGAATCAAGTCTTTAAAAATCCAGTAACTGGTTTCTTACCTCAATAATTTCCTCAATGATGTAATACACGATAAAAAGGGCAAAGAAAAACTCACAAGCCATGACGAAATGATCAAAAACTGTGACGTAACGCAAAAGCTTCACAGTTCTGAAACTCCACGAGGGAATGGCGCCTCCTGTTGCTGGGAACTCTACAATGAGTCGAATAACACAAAACAGATTTACATTAGCGTTATACACGGAGAAGTCGATGAAAAAAGCTCGAGTTCCTCGTGTGATCCATCTTTCCGTAAAAAGATAGTCCAGTGTAGCTTGTGTCTCGGTTTTTGTCTTTCCAAGGTTTTGCACATATCCGCCTCCATTGTATGTAGCTAACTCTCCTCCATAACTGCTTCCACGCAAGGACGCCTCTGAATGATACGTAAATCTGTAAAATGGCAGAAATGTAAATACAATTTGTCTTATTTTCAACTAACTTTCCACATAAGCTCCTTTTTTATATAATATCATTTAACATTCGAATCGAGATTTAAGCTAATAAATGAATTTGAAATAATTTACCTGACTGTACACAACATGTATAAAGATTATTTGCTCTGCTTTTTTTCATGAAAGCAAACCCTCATGCATTGGTACCAAAAAAATGTTCAATTACTTGACTTACATATTAGCATGGGACCGCATACAGAAAGTACAACATTTGCACTAAACTTCTGTGTACATTTCCCCCTTCCCTCGAAAATTAGATTGAACTTACGCAGTGTAGGTCTTTATTCGGGTGTCATTAGTTTCAGAGGATTTATCTTCGTTTGACTCTGAGTAGGCATCATAACATTCAAATATAACGTCCCGAAAATATTTATGTACTGCACATGAATCATTCCTGACTTTGACTTGTCGGATCCTTGGCAGTCCCAAAAGTTTGTTTTCGTGGAAAATGTATCCTTCGCCATTATCAGGAAGAGGCTGGTTATTGTACCAAGTTTCCCAGTGAAGAGCGGAAGGCAGTGGCCCACGGAGGAACTAAAAACAAACCAGTTTGGGATAAATCATTCAATCAGCTTTATGACATACTGTAAACAAATGAAATTTAATTATATCAATTGTTATACCTTTCAAAATTCCTTCCTATGAAAAAATAGTATAACATTTTTAATGTTTTATTGAGGGGTCATAAAAAAAATCGATGTTTGACCGCTGATTTTCGGAGATAAATCACTTCTGCTTTTGTTGGTACTCAACGGTTAACGAATTTACCAAATTTTACCTCAGTTTACATCACAGAAAACAGTACAATATACATAAATGTTAAAAAAAAAAAGGTATAAAAAAACATTTATTGAATCTCTTCTCGGGAAAAATGCGGTTTGTTGACCCTCGAACCAAACTGTTTCCCTTCGTCCAGACGGCCACAGGGAATCAGTTGGTTCTTGGGTCTGGCAAAATGCATGTTGCCCGCGAACAAAGTCAATAAATGTATAATCTTACCTTCCACACATCATCTGCGCCACCTATCGACCGGAAGGACACACCCCCTGAACTTGAGTCCAGGTACAGTTCACTCATCACCTTTGTTACGAAAAACATCGATGTGTTGGTCATACCAAAAGCCACTGTCAGAAAGAAAAAAATTGCAAATTAAGTAGGTATATTGATTGCTTTAGTTTAACATTTGATAATGATAATTTACCAATGGCGTAATTTTCTAGGAGATAATGATACGTGTACATAAGTAACATTTTTATTATCAAGATCGATTAATTCTTTAAGGTAGAGATTGCCAAGAGCTTTTATATATATATCACATCCTAATATTGTTGATTGCTTTATCCCAGAGGAAAAACACATTTCTTTTTACTGGAAAGGATAAAACGCAGATGATAATTTTATGATTACTTTTTTCATCTTTTTATCCTAAAAATAGCGCAGTTAATTATTTTAAAAAACACTAAAATTAAACTGTTTCCATTAAATTCATGTAGAAAGATTTTTTTCGAAAAGAATTTCACATATTTTTTGCAATTGATCAATTTCATGGCCTCTTTTTAGAAAAATTGTACAACAAAAACAATGTGCTTCACGCAAAAAATACTAGTATTTAAATTTTAAATTTTAAAATACATATCAAAGAATACTCGTATGTATATATGATATGAAATAATTACGTAAACCGTTAAAGCAAACTAATATCTTCTTGTCTGTCGCTCACTCTGTGCAAAATTAGCCCTATTTATCAGCTACATGAACCCCAAATGAAATCCACTGTGATTGGCTAAGGCTAATCTTAAAATTTCTAATTGTTCAATGTGACTGAAACTCTTGATTAGTCTTACCAATGGACAGCAGGATCAGAAAGAGGAGATAGACCACGAGTTCTTTGACGGTCGTGTTAACGTGGATCTTCTTATCGTCTGCCGGTCCCAAGGTATGTCTTGTTGCCCATATAGCTGAAGTTACATGCTAATGCCAATTAACCAGATTTAGAATCAAAGCTTAAAATAAAATATATGGAGATAACGAACAGTATTCAGGATCTAAAGACCTATCAAACAATACAGATTAGGACAGAGCAAGATCAGACCTCTAAAACAGCAGCGGTGGGATGAGGTGCCAAGGAGGAATGAGCATCCCCTGGCGACCGGTCACAGTTAATATTTCAAAATACAAATCAACCATGAGCGGTCAATTGTTTATAGTATGCCAGTAATATACACATTTCGACGTGCACCAAAAACTACTTACATTTGACTCCATTCTTGAATGTTTCAAAGCAGCTTAAACCTTTGTCTTTTTGCTCCTCCGGAACTCCTTTGACGCTTTCCTTGTCGACGTCTATTTTATCCACACTTATGACAGGCGTTGTTGTGTATGGTCTAGAGCCACCTTGAGATTTGTTAGATATGACGTCATCGTCAGGCCAAGCAGTAGGACTCGCTTCTTTTTGTTGGCTTGCCGGCGCTTCGATATCATTCTCCATTAACTCAATTTGCAACACAAAGTTCACAGAGCACTGTGATGCAATTATACATTTTAATTTTAATCCTAGATTTTCATCTTAATAACATTATGAGATAGGATTTAACGTAAAAAATATGTTATTTGCTTTAAACGAAAAAGATTTTAAAATAGGGTGATATTTCATTTCAAATTCCCTAAAGTAAGATAAAACTATGACGAAAAATAGTTATTTTTTATGGAAGGGAATTACCGCCAAAAGTCTATGTATCTTGCTTTTATTCTTATTCTGCCTACTTCTTTATGCTTTGTTATTATTGTAATTATATGTCACTTTATTGTTTTCAAATTCGTCTTTATTACATTTCATTTTGACTTTTATCATTCTTCACCGCCAAAAGTCTATGTATCTTGCTTTTATTCTTCCTACTTCTTTATGCTTTGTTATTATTGTAATTATATGTCACTTTATTGTTTTCAAATTCGTCTTTATTACATTTCATTTTGACTTTTATCATTCTTCATTGTGTCTTTACTTCTATGTTGCTTTATTCTTGTAAATTCATTCAATCTACTTTCTTTTAAACTTGAACAATTTCTTAGTAAATTATTAGCATTATCTCTACTACGAATATTATTCAATCACGCTAACAATGAAGCATATTCAATGAAGACGAATGGAAGTTGTCAAACCGTCAAAATTTAGTGCGGCATTATAACGCTAGGTGGTGTGGTGTTCGCTACGTAAAATTAGGTAAGCAAACCCGGGTCGGGTTATTTGAGATTCTTCAATAGGCCTTAGTACTTTATCAATCGAACTTCTGAAGGCCGGATCCGATCACCCGATCCAATGATGGAAACTCCATATTTATTTTCTCTGGGCACACAGGAATAGCGGCCTCTTTTTTCAGACATAACTTTATACTATATTGAATATGTTCATTAAAAGGCCGACCCACTTTTTGTAAGAGTAAGGGTCAAATAAGTTAATGTAATACGAATAGTAGGAAGAAAATTTAAATTTGAATCTATAGAAGAAGTTGAATCTAACTCAAAACCCACCCCGCCCACGAAATAGGATTTCATTGGCGTCGGAAGCTAGTTGAAAGTGGGGGGGGGGGGTAAGTGTAAGATTTTTTTTTTAGACCTTCAAAAAAAAACCTGACAAGCAAAAGAAAAAAAAAAGAGAAAGAAATGTCGATTTTCCAAACACAAAAATCCTATTTCGTGAGGAAGGGGGGGGGGGTTGAAGGTTCGAACTCCAGTGCCAAAGTTTTTTTCCCCAAATTCCACCATTTTCCCCATTTTAAACCTTGACTGCATCGTGTTCATGGAAAGTGGGGGGGGGCTAAACCTACGCAGGAATGTTCAATGTCTATACTAAGTCTATCTTTGGAAAGAAGTGGGGCTAAGCCCCCCCCCCCCTCCCCGGTTCCGACGCCTATGTATTTTCAAGTTTGGACAATTTCCCGGGGTTTATCTTGCGCTTGTCAAGTTGTTTTCAGCCGGGTAGATTGAATTATTCTCATGTTGCCCCCCTCCCCACTTTCAAAAACGATGCTACGTCACTGTTCTCTCGCCTGAAAAATATAACTCTACTAAAGTTATTTGTTGGATATTTGAATTTCAGTTTAATTGACACAAAAATGTTAAATATTTTGATACTAGTCAACCCTTACAAATTGGGTTGTTTTTCAGAACCTTCCACTGAACAGAACTTTATTTCACGACAGATAGTAACTGCTGATGCGCGTGATTCTAGGGACAGGGCTTTGCAAGGGAGTGATGGGTAGGCAGGCGCGGATCCAGAATTTTTTCCGGGGGGGGGGGAACCCAGTAAAAAAAAAATCCAATCCCAGAATTTTCTTGACTAGCATAAAAAGAAGAAAAAAACCTAAACTCGCTCAAACGTCAAAGTTCTATTTCGTGGGGGGGGGGGGGGGTAACTTTTTTCCCTTGTTTTAGTAACCTTGTAAATTCCAGGGGGTCCTATCCCTTCCCCCCACCCCGCTTAATCCGCGCATGGAAGGCGAAGTCGGAACCAGACTACATGCACCCAGGCATACTAGAAACACTCCGGTCTTTTTTTTTGTTAATATTTTATATTAAAATAGCACTTTTCAATAAAGAAAGAAATATCTTTAGTACGTACCGTGTTTGTCGTCAACCAGGAGAGCTGAAATAAATCTTAAAACTCGAAAATTCTATTTGGTGGTGGTGAAGGGGGGGTCAACTTTATTCAGTAAAAAATTTTACTCATATGCCACTAAGTACACGACTTTTAATATATATACTGACTATTAGTACTGCAACAAAAAGTGTAAGGGATGGGGGGCAACAAGCCTTTCGCTGAACTTTTCCAGTAGTAAAAAGTTACGTTTAGGAAAATGTTTCGTGGCCACCCTCCCTCTACCGATGAAACTTACCCCATAGGAGGTCGTCCACCCGGAAGTCAGTATATATATTGAGACTTTGGTGGTGTGATTGTACATTGTATAATTTCCCTTTCGAGAATTTTTCACTCAAATGGAGAAGCCACCTCTTGCCGGTGGAGAGCTGCAAATTTGTCCTATATACTCGGCACTTATAGCCATTGAGCAGTGAGGATCTTTTTTCGTGCCAGCACCTACTGCGACACGGGACCTCGGATAATACGGTCTAGATCTCATCCGAAGGACCGAACTCCACGTCCTATAGTGGGATTCGAACCCACGACGTATTGGTCGACTCCTTACTACTGTACTTCGTGAACTCTTATAGAGCAGACGCCGTAACCACAGTGCCACGCGGGCGACTGCATCCGGGGGGGGGGGGGGGGAGAGAGAGAGAGAGAAAGAATCATTATCCATATGTACTCGTGAAGATTATCTATGTTTAACTAAATGGTTAAAATGATTTAATTATAAAACACTATTAAAATGATATTATTTAAATATTTATTCATACAGAACGGATAACTTTTCTTCAAAAACTGAAAACGTTAGTATATATCAACATTGTTTTACGATTAAAAAACTATTCGGGGGAGGGGTTGCTAGGAATGGGGCGAATTGCTATATATAGCGAGATTTCCCACGGAAGACTGGCTATATATTGAAACTTCCCCGGGGGAAGTCCCACTGTCTAGTCTTCCGAAGGAAGCATCACTATGTAGTCAGTCTTTCAGGGAAAATCTTACCATCTAGCGAGACTTCCGAGGGAATGACATGTATCAGGGGCAGCGGGCACATACCTGAACTTATAACAAACATCAGGCATTTAAAAATTTAAGTTTGATTGATAAAGTATCAAGGCAGAAAATTGAAAAAACTCGAATAACCCCGGCCCGGGTTTGCTTATCTAATTTTACCAATTTTTAACACTCTTAGCGAACACCCCTGCCACCTAGCGTTATAATGCAGCACTAAATTCGGACAACTTGTATTCGTCTTCATTGAATATGCTTCATTGTTAGCGTGATTGAGTTAACGTTCGTAATAGATATAATCATTTGAGAAACCGTATCAATTTAAAAGAAAGTAAAATGAATTTACAAGAATAATGCAACATAGAAGTAAGGGCAAAATGAAGAAGGATAAAAGTGAAAGTGAAATGTAATAAAGACGAATATGAAAACAATAAAGTGACAAATAATTACAATAATAACAAAGCATAAAGAAGTAGGCAGAATAAGAATAAAAGCAAGATACATAGACTTTTGGCGGTAATTCCCTTCCATAATTTTTTGATACTTTCAATGACTTCCATTGAGAAAGTAAAATGAGCTTAGAAACAAATTATATAGGTTTCAATAAAAAAAAAAAACGACGTCAGCTGTTTGATTGCTTCCTATTTTCATTGACGAATCGACTTTACGTTCTAATCAAATAAAGCAAAGAAAAGCAATATTTTAATAAATAGTAAAAATTGTCAAGAGCCATGAAACATAAATTATTATTTTTTAACTTACCTTGTTTTCTATTCTGTTACAGAGGACAAGGAAGAACAGTACAGGAATCTGCAACCCTGTCACACCTCTTGTAAGTTGATTTTGTTATAAATATTTAATAGCTTATTTTTTTTTTTACGATCGGGTTATATAAGAATTTAAACAATTTAGGCGATCTATTGATTATTTATGAAATCACACCAACAATGCCGTAACAGAATAAACTAGAAAGTAAGATATACTTTGCAAGTAACATGAATTTTTAATATCATTTCCTTTTAACATGCAATTAATCTACAAAGAATGTACTGAGGCTACTAGTGTTATTTTTTTAATGAAAAAGAAGAAGATTTTTTACCTATTTGAAAGTCTCATTTGAGATTATTTCTAAAGAGAGTGAAGCAGCTTTCTATTTTCGAAATTTAATTTGATAAATAAATACAATCATGTACAATATTTATCATTATTTTTATCATTATAATCATTATTAATTATTATTATTATTATTTCAAACATTTATCCCCTTCAAGTATTATCATCATGAAAAATACCAGAACTTGCCTCGCACTTAGGAAAAGAGTACATGCAGTTACATTTAGTGTATTTATTGTTTATTGTCAGTATTTTATTCATTGTTATTTATTCGTCTAATGTGAAGTTAAGAATATTTTTTCGGTGCTTTCCAATCTATCATTACTCTTTTAACATTAGAATATTGCAGAAAGATCGTGTAAAGTAATATATATATTATGATCATATGCATACACAAACAACATCTAATGTTAAAATCGATTCCCGGAAAACTCTATGCACGCTACATGTATAATGAACTCGATGAAATTGATTTTCAAAATCTATCCAACGGAAATTATCCGCTTTATACTCTGTGAATCTTCAAAATTCCAATCCAATCTACAAAGTGCATATTATGAATACATTTTACACTGCTTATAGGTTAAAGACTCTCCTATTACATGTACATGTACCATGATAATTCAGAAAATGTCCTGTTTCCAGTCCATTTATTTTATATTTTCTGCACGTGTAACATTTAAGCATACTATATATTTTTCTCTATACTGCATAATTTATTTTTTTTTAATTATTAGCAGTCACGTTGATGGAGGACCACGGTCTTGTTTAAAACAGAAGAGGACTGGTTCGAGCTCAGTTTAGTGATACTTTATTTCGGATTAAAAATTACACTTGATCTGAAGTTTCGTACTAGTAGTTAATTGTTTTACCTATCATAAAACTAACACTAATCCAGTTCCTATTAAGCTTCAGAGATTTACGGGGTCAGCTGAATGTCCAGAAAAGTGACAACTACCTTCCCGGGTCTCTTCACCAAGCTCAGAAAATGATTGCCGAGTTGTCGGAAAGCACCAGAAGATGTAGTTGCTACAAAACAGTAGCTATAGGTCACACCCGAATACTGATTACAGGGTTATTGTCGCCCTTTCAATCATGCAAACAAATGTTCCCCGTCTTAAATTCGCCCACTCACACTTTTGTTTAAGAAATTAAACTGTATTTTTCGAATTCGCCCCGTTTTAAAGTCGCCCACCCGAGGTAAAGGCAAAAATTTCCTTGAATACAGTATTTCAAACCAGGTACTTATTGCTTCTGCCAAACTCTTCCTGTGATTGAATTTTGCACCTCAAAATTTGTTAAAGTGACACGAGAGCATACTTTACGTACAGTAGCACCATTGCCGACATGAAGCCCAGTACAAAATTGAACCCCTCACCATGCTTCCCAGTGCACAACTGTATCTTTGAGTCCTTTTAATATAATCAATTTAGCAACAAGTCAGTGGATCAATAGATACGTCTTTGTTTTATAATCGCTACAGCACTTATTATATAATCCATCTTTTTAAAAGACAGGCTTACATAGTGGTCTATGGTACTTTCAAAAATTCGGGATTTTTTTCTCGAATTTTGAATGGATAAATTGTTTTTGTTCAATCAATCAACGAATGCTTTTTTTGTAAATGACGATATATCCGTTTGGGATATACATTGACTCATTTGTCTCGAGAATAAAAAAAAAGACAAGTTATAACGATCTGTAAGATAACGTGCAATACACCATTCTACAAAAAGTTATGTGCTAGCCAATTTAATATCTGCGCAAAATGTCATCAAAATACGATATATTTCAGATCAAGATTTGATCCTCTACGCCAAGAATTTGTGAGGACAGTAACGTATCTGAAACTCTCGGCTAGTGAAGAAGTCAAATGAATATATTTTAACTTTCTTCTCAAAGTCACAAAAATTATGACTCATATTCAGACAAAATATAGGAGGAACATTTTTCATTTTAAAACTTTATCTCAAAGCATAAAAACTTGAATCTAAAATATTATAAAAATGAATACTAGTACAGTCATACAGTTTATATATTCACGATCAATGATAAAACAAGGAAAGAAAAATAAGTATACTGAAAAGAAAACGAAAACAACAGCATTCCAACTACACTCTACCTCAGGCATTCTAAAACTCATAGAGCAAAAGTGTCACTGTAAACGCAAGAATGAAATTGGCAACACACCTCCATAAGTTGTACTTTAGTATTTTATTAAAATGAGGAGTTAATGAAGTGCATATATGACCAAAAGGCTTGTAGAGCAATAATCATGCACCACGGCAACCAATTGAATATGAATTTTAAAAGATACCCACTGAAATTGTTTTCTTCAAGCTTTGAGACAGCTTTAGATACTCAAACAGATTGAGTCATTTTCCACAATTGGATTATCTTTAAATCTGTGTAGTTAATCTTTTACATCTGAGTCAGGTTTAATATTTTTTTTATTAAGTCATCTCTTTTTTAAAGAATGCTGTAATTCACATTTTCATACTATTTTACACAACATGAATCGTAAACACTTGTATGAGAATACGAATATCTTACCTTGTAGAAATGCTGTAAGAGAAAACTCGACGTATATTAAGTTTATTTTATGTTATGTTATGACTTATTTGTCTAATAATTTCGATAATCCTAATATGCTTATTTTGTAGTATCATGTAGAAGAGAGAGAGAGAGAGAGAGAGAGAGAGAGATGAACTGTTTAGGCTATGAAAAAAGCTCATATTGTTTAACATGCCCCTTTTTATCTGTAGATCTAAATATAATGGTAACTAATTTTAAAGAATCCACATAATACATTGAAATAAAAAATAACATTTTCTTTCTCAGCAAAAGTAAAGACACTAAACTATTGAATGCTATGTACAGGGAAATTCTCGCCCCTATTTTATATTCGGCCTCCTTGGAAGTGGGGGAATTTTAAACGAGGCGAATTCAAATAAACAGTTTCATATCTTTAAAAAAAAAACCAGTTTCTGGGCGAATTTGAAAAAAAAAGAAAATCGTTGGCAAAAGTGATCGGGCGAAAATAACCCCGTATTCAGAATTTTAATTATGAAAAGTAACTAAACATTAAAATTTCTTACATGTACCTCCGCTAAGAGAAAAAACAAAAAATAGAAAATAAGCAATAGAATATATAAAATCAAAAGAATTTCGAAATAAATATGCTACTAAACACAAAGTTATCAAAAATGAAGAAGCATATGCCACAAGAAAACTAGATTAGTGATATGAATAATATAACAAAATAATACAACCATAGTTTTCCTCAAATGTTATACAAATTAAAAAATTGCAAAGTCTAAGACATTTTTTCGGAATTAATCAGCATAAAAAAAAACTGAATATACCTGTGTTTGATGAAAAGTTCATGACAAATAAATCCAATGCCTATAGTAAACTCGTATATATATAAAAATGTTGTAGTTTAACTATAAAAGATATAGTGTTAAAATATTTCGAACTTCATATTATTATTAGCTAAGATAGAGAAAACTAAGAGTTATAAACAATACAAAAAACGTCTTCATTATTACAATTATGAATAACCTATTACATTGTATACATGCATATACAGTTAAACTTGTCAAATCCGGATGTTAATTATCCGAAATCATTTCTAATAAGGTCTAAAGTTTAAGTCCCTTACAGTAAATTCAAAAGTTTTATATGTTGTCTAATCCGTAATGTTGTTTAATCCGACTAATTTTTTAGAACAAGATTTGACAATTTATATCATAAACTTACTATGGGATACATTTTGGACAATTATTGTATACAATATTGTCCCTGAAATACACATGTTCAAGCACATTCCTTTCAATCCTAGATTACAGGTATATTAAATATTTGGAGATATATAAAAATCGTTAGAATATGATGTATTTCACACTGCCGCGTGTTAACTTACACGATGCTATGTGTGAAAAAGGCTTCATAAATAACTTACTAAATCTTTTGATTTTCCGAATCAGCGGAGCAGCTAGTACATGTACCTGTAAAACAAAACAATACATGTATGTTAAAAGAAATAACTTGACCGAATATTTGCCAAAATGAATTGAAGATGAAATTGTTTCTTAAAGTTAAAAAGTAAAATACTGTTGACTTCTATTGATATGAGGACTAATCTTAAAAGATAATTTGATGTACATGCTGTTAACAGTTCTTCCACCAATTAATCTTGAAATATGTTTGGATATTACCAATACGCTACACATATGATTGAAAAATCATCTATCTACAGCTTCAATTCATTGTTTTGATTATCTGAATATAATATATCATGCTCTGAATGCAATTTAGCATGATAGTTAAATTGTACTTATCAACAATAGCAAGATTATGTATATACATTTAACATTGAAAACCATTCATACAAAATCGAATAAAAACATTTAAGAAAACAAAATGAAAAAAAATCTGTAACATTTTTACAACATCAAATAACAAACAAGAACACTCGCGCTCATCCCTTGTTAAATGTCCTAAAAAGACAGAAAAAATCAGTCAGTTACAAAAATAAAAATCAACACTAAGAAGTTTTCGTGCTTTTCTTTTCGGTTATTTTAGACTAGTGCGATAATTTTAGTTTTATCTTAAAAACAATCTTACCATATTTGTTGTGAGGGGATCAACAAAATATACTAGCACAGAAGTAAAATAAGGTCAACGAATTAATTTTCATTTGATATATATCAATGTAATGTTTATTGATAACCTAAGGTACATTATACACACTTTCAAAAACTCCATGCTGTATTGCTGCAGAAACAGTTATTCTCTTAGTAACATCTGGATGTAGCATCTGTTTCAACAAATCTTTCAACATTGGAACCAAAGAATGAGTTGAATTCTCCAGCAACTGTAGTTCCTCTTCTACAATAGTTCCTTCCTCTAATGCCTGCATATAAAAAAATGTGGCGAATGTACATGTATACAAGATACGGCTTACAGCAATATTAGAAATTTCTTATATTTTTAAAAACAAAATTAACAAAAATACATCTAAGAATGTTATATTAATCGATACGATGACATTGTCAGCTAATACAACTTATTATTGATTCAAATGCTGACTGACGTTTTTCATACTAATTTCTAGTCCATTATTTAAATACACTGAATTAATGAATTGACGACGGATTTTCCCGTTATTTCCCGATCATGACAGGGAGCACATGGTGGGTGTGACCGGTCGGTAGCTGATGCTCACACCTCCATGGCACCTGATCCAAATCTCTGATGTTTTAGAGGTCCGAGTTTGCTCTGCTCCTATTTATTATTGTTTTATGGACTTTGATATTGAATACTGTTTGATATCTCCAAATCCTTCATTTAATAAGTTCTCTCGTCAACTCTTCGTATAACATTCACAAGTTAGCAATAAAATTACCTCGACAAAACATTGTCTATTTTCTTTACTTTGGGTCCAATATTTCTCAAAAACAAATCTTCTGAGGAAGTGGGACAGCATGGTACACCCAAGGGTCCATACATCATGAGCCTCTAGGTCGATTAATTCAGGTTTATTCCTCAGTGTCTCGGGTGGATAAAATCTTCTTGTACCGTCTACAAATTATAACCATACCAAATAAAACAAACGTGCGATAATTATAAAAAATTCTGAATAATTTGGTTTTAAAGCAAGGGTAAGTCAGTCTTGGGAAAATGCATGCAATCTCTTCTGGGCCATCTTTGAAATAATGTTTGATTACCCTTTCCCGACTCAGGATAAAAAAAACTTTCGGTTGGTAGGTGCAAACTTTTTTCCTCAAAAAATTTCATCATTTATACTGACGGAATGGAAACACTGATGAATAAAAGGGAAAAAAAGAATCTTAATTCCAGAAAGTTAAAAAGTTTTGATTCAGACATTTTCTGACCTTTTCTAGTTGTAGTTGACGGTAAAAAAGGTTCATTCGTCTTTGTTGTCATTCTGTTTAGTTATAAGTTGGCCCTTAACGTCTGTAGTTAATAAAAAAAACCTAAATATGAATCAAATGAAGCAGGTTCTGTGTTGTCTGTAATTTTTATCTCACTTTGATAAAATGCATATCGATTTATATTAATAAAAAGTATTGCTAAATGATAACAAAGAGTCACCACAAGGGTTTTCTTTTCTTATGTGGAAGTTATTAAATAAAGTTTGCTTATTAGGAATATTGAAATAGGTGGGATAGTAAAGGAGTACAAAAGGCACCCATCGAAATTCTAAAAGATTACCCATTCTCGTAATTTTGCTCAAAAATAGCAAAAAATGACAAAACTTTAAAAAGCAACAAACATTGCATCAATTTTCTTCTCTCAAAGCTTTCGAACAGGAATTAAGATACAGTGTTTGAATAAGAAAATACCTTTGTTCTCCTATAATTATAAACATTCTTTTATTAAATAACAAGTAATGAACGTACCGTTGTATTTCCAATAATTTTTTCCAATGTATTTTGCAGACCCCCAGTCGATGAAAACCACAGATTCAGGTTTCCCTTTTAAAGCAACATTGTCCTCTGAAAAAAGTCACGAGAAAAAAAAAATACAGGTATGATTAAAAATGAAAACTCCGAAGACGTTTTCCAAAACAAAACATATACCAGGAATTTATTTAAATGTAGTTTAAATGTAACTGAAACATCTAATTTTTTTAATGCATCAACCGTAAAAACGACAACGATATCAATTGATATTGCTGATCGTATGTATCTATTTGTGGTATGACATCTAAATACAACACATGTCTCGTAAATGTCGTATTTTTATTGATAGGAAATAATTTACGGTTATCTATATAAGTTTCTCTATTTTTTAAATGGAATGACAAATGCATTAGATATTATAATTGGATTAAGATGCGGAATTACTGTATTACTAAATATACAGGGTTATACTCGCCCCTTTTATTTTCGCCCCTTTCGCCCTACCCTCATTTGGGCGAATTTAAAGAATACAATATAATTTCTTAAACAAAACTTTGACTGGGCGAATTTAAAAGTGAGCAAAATTGTTTGCAAGTTTGAAAGGGTGAAAATAACTCTGTATACAGTATTCGCACCGAAATGCCATCCTGGTCAGAAGGACATAGCGCGCTTCTTAATTGAAGAGTTCCTGTAATGGAAAACAATTGTTTGTAAAAAAAGAAACAAAAAAAAAACCTGATTTTGAAAAAGAAGAATTTATAATTATATTGAATTTAAGTAAAAATCATGTACAAAGCACATTAGTGAATAAAGATTTTTAAAGTGAAGTATCCCGGTGGAGGAAGCGAGGGTTTTGCAGACGAATTTTATTATGATACCATAAGCCAATTTTAACGTTTTAGAGGCGACAAAAACAATTCCGATTTTTCGTATGCCTTGTCAGTGATTACTTAGAAATATGAGAAGATAACTTATGGGGGAGGGTCATTTTATGTATTAAAAGGTATGTGCAAGGAAAACGGTTACCCACAAAGATAAAGCATATACCTTTAATGTCAAAATGTGCGACTCCATATCCATGCAATTCTTTCAATGCCTTGAGGAGTTGAAAGAATATGCTGACTGATTCCAGAAACGTATTTTTTGTAGGATTTCTTCGTTTTTTCAAAGACTCGCCTACAAAATTCAAAAAAGTTATCCATTTTACACCTTATTGTAACATGTTTTTCTTTCTGAAATGAAGCATTTACAATACTTTACCTTCAGCATATTCCATAATAATATTGATGAATTCATCTTCAACAACTATTCCATATATTTTTAACGCCTTTGCATACCCTTGAAGTTGTAATACAGGAATGGTAACCTCCTCCTCCCGAAAATGTGTTCTTTTGATCTATGGAAATCGGAATTTCACAACAATATGATTTTACATTTATCACATCCCTCAGTCTATATCATCAAAACATTTAATTAAATTTTACGAAATGTTTTTATTAGATTTTTTAAAATTACCTTTTTCATTGCAAAAAGCTCATTCCTTTCCATTGATTTGCAAAGCAAAACTTGGCCAAATGCCCCTTTTCCAAGCTCTCTTACTACTGTGTACTGATGGTTCTGCAGAAATGATTTTGATGTTCTTGCAATAGGATCCATTAGCTTAGAGTAAAGAAAAATTAGTTATTTTTAACATTAAATACAATTATTTTTTGATGCACAACAGCTATGATTGTTAATGTAGACATACATAATCAGGCATTACCGTGTCTTTGAAAGCAATTCCACAGTGGTCCGACAAACTGCTATTTTCCTTAATTCTTGATAAAAATGGCTTCAAGTCTTCTCTTGAACCAATTTCTACAAATCTGTGGAAGGGATTGCCAGGATTGCAAACATTTATTTCTTGTGAATTCATAGGAACTCCATTTTGATTTTGAAGAAGCTGTAGAATATGCCTCACTTTCTCTATCTCGTCATTTGTGGTAATTTGTTTCAAGATATCTTGGGACATAAAATCATTCTCCAAAGAGATATTACATCTGTCACCTGCTTGAAATTCTTCGTATGATTCGTGAAATTGTTCTGCTGTTAAATTGATAACCAGATTTTCAACTGGAAATTCCATTTCATTCAGTAAATTCAGCAATTGCAAGGTAGTGGGATTCATCTTAAGGGCAGGCATACCTGTGCTTGTTTCAGATTCAGCATGTGTCTTGCCTTGAAATGCTAGTTCATTCATATTTCTACTCTCTAACGCTTGAACAGCCTTCTCATCCTCATCAGTTGGAAATCGATTCCAACATAAAGGCCCAAAAGGGCTTTTACAAGCAGTATTCCTTTCCTCATAACCTTGTTCTGCATCTTGTTTGTTAGTTTGTAAGGTTTCTTTATTAGATTTTGTATTTCGCAATTCATTGGCAGACAGCATAAATACATATATGATCCGATTTTCAGATGCAAAACAGAATGAACTCTGTTGAAAACATTCCCACCATGCTTCAAAGTATTCTTTGTAGAACCCGTCTTTTGCCAGCAATTGACTTTCAAAAGTTTGAAATTTGTATTTTTCATGGCCATATACCTTCTTGCAATGCGCTTTCGATTTATCAGTGCAGAGCAAATTTTCCCAATCGTTCAGATTGAAAAAATCTTTATGTTCTATAAAAACTTTGTTCTGTAATCGAAATCTCACAAACTTTTTGTCTGGGTACTCTTCCTGAAGAGAACTTTCAAAGCTCATTTTATATCCCTTCCTCGTCCTGGTTGCATATTCTGCCTTTTCTTTCCTTTCCATCAGCGACACTAAAGACGGAAACCAGATCTTTAAAATGTTAATCACCAGCATTGCAATTTTGCGAAGGCAGGGGATAAAAATTCGAAAGATCAGCCATAAAGCAAAGGAGTCTTCTGTTGATAACTTAATTTGGTTCGTTATCCTATTCCATGTCTGATTCCCATCGGCTAATGGCGATTCAAAAGCATCATCAGATTCAAAGACAAAGTCGCTTGACATAAGTGTATCAGCATCAAGATCAGTCGAATTTTCATCATCACCATTGGTATCACATGTTTTGCTAATGTCCGTATTTTGGTTGTACAATTTCATATTTGAAGTGGTTTTCCTGTCCTATGTAAAGAGATTCACTTGTAAAAATACAAATTTTGTAAAGTCTATCAATTATTGCAATGCTTTCTAACTAAATAAAGTAATTTAGTTTTTGTTACATTTATTTCTTTTATACAATGCAATGTGGAAATCAGCATCCAAAATATAATTCAATATAATATGAATAAGTATAAATCACAGCTAAAACAATTACTACAAACCTGTTTAGAATGTTTTCAGTCGGTGGCTATATTTTAGAGAATATCACTAGATTTTAAATAGATTTAAATAATTCTACTTAATGTTTCACCAAACCTCTACATATAGATGTAATACACCTCTTCGGACATTTTAGTTTCTCATTGGTTAAGAAATTAATAACATCAGGAATTTTAAATTGTTGTTGACAAATCTGATGCGACTTGTGCCCAACTTCTTTGCCGGAAGAGACAATCTTATTGGTAACTAGTATTCTATACACTCGTTGACATCGGCCCGAATTTCTATCCAATGTATATTTCAACAGTGACTGAAAGCTGTGTAAATTTCAGATGCTAATTACGTTGCGCCGAGAATGCCACGCCTTAATGAAAGTCCAAGTTTAGCTGGGAATTGTAATAATTCCGCTCGTGTGGTTTTTCGTACAAATTAAGGTCACCTTCATCAACTAATAATTATTTAACCCCCGCTCCGAAGGAGAGGAGGTATACTGTTTTACCTTTGTGTCTGTCCGTGTGTCCGTAACAAATTTTTGGTCACAGTTTTCTCAGCAAATACATTATACACTAATCGCAGATGCTTGAAATTTAAGCACATTCTTTGCTAAGGCATTCAATGTGGTGTGTTCGCTTTATTGAAGTCCGATGTCAAATATCCCTTTATCCAAGTGTCTATCCGTACCATACATAACCAACTCTCATTTCAGTTTTTTCAGCAACTGCTCATTGCAGACACTTGACAATTTAGCACATTCTTTGCTGATGAGTGCTATATAGTGGGATTTATTTTTAGCTCACCCATTTTCCGTCGTCCGTCTGTCTGTCCGGGCCAATTTTACCGAAATTTGGTACAAAGCATACTTGAGTAAACGGGAGTTAAAATTATAAAATGAAAAACAAATTCCTATTACAAGGGATATTATCAAGGAAAGACCGAAATAGGATGGATTCATCTTCTTCTCAAAAACCACACCGGGTCAGAAAAGCTGAAACTTACGTGGAAGCATCTTGGGGATAATGTACGTAGATTCTAAATTGTTAAATTATGACCCCCAGGGTAGGGCGGGGCCATGATAGGGAATCTAATTTTAAGGTCATATACGACACGTTCTTCAAATCTATCTTTTTATCTCTTTGTATTATATAAAAATATGCATATTTGTCATTTTCTTGTGAATTCTTTATTGTCTTCAATATGATTTTAAATATATACGTACATAAAAAATCTGTGATAAAGGCCATTCAAATGATAACCCATATGGGATATAAAAGAAATATAACCCTGTGGTATTGTGTCCAAATACCTGGTAAGGAACCCTATTTTTGAGTGAAAACTTGTTTAAGTACGTAGACTTCAATGACAACTTCTTGGGAAAAGTTTTACATTTTTGAGGAACGTGTCATCTGACTTTAACATTGAATTACATAGGAAATTTCTTTTAAAATCTTTCTTTCAAGAACCACTGGGTCAGAATAGCTGAAACTTATATGGAAGCATCTTTGGTTCTTGTAGATTCTTGTTCAAATCATAAACCCAGGGGTAGAATTGAGCCAATATATATAAAAACAAGGGGGGGGGGGCTTGTAAAACAAAATTACTAAGGAAAGCAATGTGGCCATAAGACCTCTAACTGTTCAAATCTGATGTCAACTTCCTGTTTTTCTGCATCTGTCCGTCCCATTCATCACAAATGTTTGTCAGCAATTACTCATTGCATATGATTGAAAGTTTAGCACATGCGTGTACTTTGTTGAGGCATGCCATTTGGTGGGGTTTATTTCTGTATAAATCTGATGTCAACTTCCTATTTATCTGTGCATCTTCCTTTAGAGAACTTGCATATATTAACATGACAGTGTATATTCACATCAGAGCGGGGGGACCTAAAAGTGAGCATTGACCCACAAACTTCTTTATTCATAATTTAAGCAAAGAATTTTTCTAAAGGTGATGTTATAAAGTGGAATTTATCAATAAGTGGTCAGTCTAACAATTATGATCAGAATTTTAACTTGTGTGAAAACCCGTGTGAGCTTAAAGATATGTATGCCGTATTTTTGCACAGCTGAAACCAAACAAAAATTTCTGAAGTATGATAAGCTATCAAAAATAAAGCATTCTCTCAAATTCGACGAAATATTATTCGGTATTAACAAAGTACTGGTCGGGAAAAGAACACGATATTCTCATGCATATTTATAAAGGACTGACGTTTATGTTGGATCTGCGCATGTGCGCGGGAAAAGCATCATGAGAATCATCAGGTCGAGGAAACTATTTTTTGTGACGTCTGTTCAGCGAGGAACCAACAAGACTGACAAATCGACCAATCAGCTCAATGAGTTCTATTTATTGCATTTATGGGTTACTACTCAGTACATAAATACTTCATGTGTTTTTCGAACAGGCTAGTTTTTTTTTAAATAGCTCTCAGAAAGACGTGCTACATCAGAGCGGGGGTCCCAAGCATTTACACGCTAAATGCATTATGTACATTATCATCTACAAATCCCATGCTAACATTTGCATACAAATGAACAATGATAAAAATAAGAGTTTCCCCACTCTATTGTACAGGTCCGTTTGTTTACAATTTCCCCGTGCTCTACTGACAGTGAAAAGACAATTTCACGTGACTATATATTCCTCGGTACAAAAAGCAACTAACTCTGAGGTGTGCTCACGTATTGACAATGTTTACAATGTGTACAACTTCGAAACATACAGTATGCTAACATGAAAAACTGCATTTGTTTGTTTATGTGAGCATGGGAATTCTCAATTAGTAACTATTCTACCTATTTTTCTAAAACAGGTTTTTTAAGAAATGTAAATTGGCTTTCCAGCCGTCAATTGAACTTACAATTCCCTAACCCACGTGTTTGTAGTGAAAACGTAGTAGACCATCATGCTTTTCGGTTCATTCACGAGATTGGACCATTGTTTGCTGTGAGCATGCGAGACCACGTGTTCATGAATATTTCAATAAGAGGCGGTTTAATATGTCGGAGAGAAAATAATTTTTACAAAATAATATTTCATAACTTTTGAAAGTGATGGAGTGGAATTGTCTTAATTGCAGAAATTACATAACTTATGTAACCTGATGAGACACCACATATATTTATTTCTTTAGCAATAAAACACTAATACGGCATATATATCTTTAAATAGTGTGCAGAGCTGTAGAACCTCTTTCAATTTACATCGTTTAAATGCAGGTATAAATTGCTAAGACATTAGTTAACTGGTGGCCGTCAAATAATTTTCTAGCGGTCGCCAGACAACAATTTGGCGTCCGCCAGATCTAATTTATGTGGCAGCCGCTAAAAACCTATCTGGCGGCCCGCCAGATAAAATATTTTTTCTACTCTGTACCTGGCACCAACTGGCTTCCGTAGGTTTGCACTTTTAAAGGGCATATAAACCATTAAGTACAATAGCGCTGACATGGTGATTTTGTAAATACGGAAATGAGTTGGTGGTGTTAACTTATGAGTTTTTACATATTGAGTGATTCAGAAATTGTTTAACGTCTAAAGTGATATATTCTATACAACGATCAAGCCTTATTTAAAAACTAGCTTTTTTTCAATAAGCCTTATTTAAAAACTAGCTTATTTACATTATTTTAATGATTCTGCACTTTATGAACTTTCCTCTCTTTTTAAAGATAATTTAATGACATCTCAGTCGGGTTCAATGCGACTTATTTATATAGCTCAAACGGACATATTTATGATTATGGAAGCATATATGCAATTAAATTATATGCTAATAAATTGATACGTGTAAGCTTCAAATCTTGAAATTACTTTCGGTTTAACGCCGTTTATCAATAACAATACACACATGCCTAAGTTATTATGAACATAATTATACAAAAAGATCGTTCGCAAATCATTAAATGTATTACGAACTTATACATAAAACCTTCTTTGAGAGTGTTCTGGGATATATGGGGAAAACATCTTACCGTAATTTCTTGATGTGATGGATTGACTTATTTTTTTTTAAGTGTATATCAAACTTTCCAAGGGCTAATTATAGTATCATTTATCTAATCTACCACACAATGAACAAATCTTTTTAAAATCGAAAGAGGAAGCCTTTGTTAGGAATATTAACTTTATGGAATAATATGCTTTTAATGTTGGATACCTTGCAAGAATTGTGAAAGTATGTAAATAATTTGTTTCATTAGAACTAGAATACACGGTTTTAAAATAATTTTCTTCTTAAGAAGCCTGTGGCCCTTTTCACAAAATATTTTACGACTAAATCTAAAATTTCACCACTCCTGTAAATTTTTATCAAATTAAAATATTTTTTTTCTAAATAATTATTTACAATTGTATCATAAGATATTAATATAATGTTACAGAAAAATGAGATTCTTGCAGGTTAGATAATTGTTGCAGAATGAGGGGGGGGGGTTAGTCTTATTCGTAAGAATTAAAAAAAAAAAAAAAGATCCACTGATGAGACCATCTTTCAAAAATTGTTTGGGTGCCCTCTCCTGACCAACTGACTAAAAATGGCCCAATTCATTTTTTTTTGTACATATCTGTACACAATTTATTTTTTTATTCCCCATTTCCCGTAGGTTGAAATATATGTTGACATTTTCTGGAAAAAAGATTTTTATACCTACCGATCGAGTCAATAATTTATTCCTTAGTCGGGAGAGGGCAAGCAAATATTATTTTAAAGATGGTCTTAAATTCGAAACTATTTTTTTTTTAAGTCCAGATGTGACATCTTAACAAGAGGCCCATGGGCCATATCGCTTCCTGAGTAATTTTGGCCATGCTATTTTTACATGATGTCCCCGTTGTAATATCTAATGTGACCCTATCTTATCCCATTGGTCATATTGTGGAGAATGTTGAATCTACACTGCCCGAGGATGCTTCCCCGTAAGTTTCATCTTTTCTGGCCCAGTGTATTTTTAGATGAAGATTTGTCATATATTTCTATGTAAAACTTGGATTCCCTATTGTGGCCTCTCCCTACTCCCGGGGATCATGATTTTATAAATTTAAAATCTGCATTATCCCAGGATGTTTCCATATAAGTTCAAGCTTTTCCGGCCCAGTTGTTCTTTAGAATAAGATTTTGAAAGATTTGTCTGATACATTTCGTTGTAAAATTTGGATTTCCTATTGTGGCCCCGTCCTGTCCCTGGGGATCATGGTTTGAACAATAAGAATCTACCGTGTACACTATGAGAAACTTCCACGTAAGTTACAACTTTCAAGAAAAGCTCACTTGAGCTTTCAGCTTAGGTGAGCATATAATCAAATGGTAAAAAATCATTTTTTTAAGTTCACATGCAACAATATTGGCTTTTTATTATATAAAAAAATATGATACCTTTTTATGTATATTTACATTATCAACGGTTCTGTAACACTTACCTATTAAACCAATTTTGTGCATACACTATGAATTAAATTTGTTAAACACGTTAACAATCTATTTATGAATCGATTGTTCATGACTTAACGCCTGTGTACATAAAGGCTTAAATACAACATGTTCCAAAAGAATATTGCACTTTATACTGGGAAACATTTTTAGAATGTAAATATTTGATGATAATTATAAAAGGCGTTCTAGAAAGTTTGCATACATTTCAGCGTTAAAACAATCCAATTTGTCAAACTCTGCGAACCATCATAAATGAAGTTTTTACACCAATATAGCTGGTTGACAGTGAATACCAAAAATTACAATTCTCAGCAGCCACACAACTTCCATTTCCGTATATTCCGTTAAGGTTTGCCCACGTGCATATATTATGCCACCATGCGCCTTTGCGTGCTAATGCACAATTGCTCGGAGCAAAATCATTATCTATGTCAATTGTAGTGAATTTATATCCATTCGTGTTAGTTGTTCCATGACTTTCAATGGAATCCCCTAAAAATAGATTAAAGTCTGTAAGTTAATAAATTAGGCAAATTAGTTAATATTGTCAATATTCACCTCACAAAAAATACTTGAAAGGTTGTAATTTTAGAAATGAAATTCAAGTTTTCTACTGATGTCCTTCTAATATTGTTTTGCATACCTGCAGTCCCCTGATAAGAACCCTCTTTAACTCTCATCCTATAACTATCTGATACGTTGGCAATCCTAAAATCTTTGTACTTGGCATAGAACCAACCACCGCCGAATTTTTCTAGGAGAATGTAAAGATCTGACGTTCCAAGGGTTGTCAGCTGATGTAAGTGATTGTTTCCTATAGAAATATTTGTTAGTGTTATTTTTTTCTGGACATTAATTTTTTTTATTATTAAATTGGTTAAGATTACTGATTCATCGATTGTCCGAACTTAAAGAAAATAAAAATATTTAAAACCCAGAATGCAAAATCATAGGGTCATATTAACAATGTATTATGTCAATGCCATGATGCTGTTCCTAAGATTATAACAAAATTTATTAATCTGTTTTACGTATCGTTCACGATAGCGTAGTGGTAGATCGTTCGCTTCGTGATCGGGAGGCCTGAGTTCGATTCTCGTTCGCGGCGCCGCGTCAAACCTAAGACGTAAACATAGGTAGTGACTGTTCCTTCGCCAAACGCTCGGCATTAGAGTAAGTCACGGGTCTTTCGGATATGACATTAAAAACGTAGGTCCCGTGTCGCGGTAGGCGTTGGCGCGTTAAAGAACAATCACTGCTAAATGGCCCTGAGTCCCGATTATAGATCTAAATTTGAAGCCCTTCACCGGCATACGGTGATGTCACCATTTGAGTGAAAAATTCTCGAGCGGGACGTTAAACAGCCTGCAATCAATTAACATACCAAGCCAATGCTCTCCTTGTGGTCGCCCAAATCCTGATGAGTAGTTCGACCAAAACCAAAAGAAATCAACAGCTCCATCCTTTCTATGCTGAAACACCTGGTTAAAATGATAAACATAATTGCTATATTTTTGTCCATTTCTAAAACACATCAGTTCGTTTACTTTTACATGCATCTTATCAAATTGCCTACTATGTTGTAAACTGATCATTTTGCAGGAAGCAAGTTGTTCATTGGTTATGTCCTTAAATTCATATAAATTGATACATTTCGCTTCTGCCATAAATGAATTAACTTAAAATCATCTTATCGTCTCGCTTAAAAATATTCCTTCACTGCCCAAAGACCGAGATCAAGTCTAAGCTAGCAGGCCTCCACCGGAAAAGGGTGGCATGTCACTGCCAAATTTTTTTTTTCAGAATTTACTAAAACAATTAAACAAACAATTATATGAATGACATGACATACAATTATGACCGTAGAGTGCTTGAAAAGAGATAAAACAAAATAGAAAAGGAGAAAGAAAACAAGATGTGTTTGTGAAACACTATGCGCCCGGCGGCAACAAAGCTCGAAAAAGTATTTGTAGCATATAGGTCACAGTCAAGGTCACAAGGTCATTGACCTTGGTGTCATTTGAAAGAACTTAATTAATGGGAGTATGCATACCAAAAAAGAAGTCTCTATCTCCTATGGTTCAAAAGTTATGGCGAAAGTTCGAAAAAGCTATTTTTAGCATATAGATCACAGTCAAGATCACAAGGTCATTGATCTTGGTGTCATTTAAAAGAACTTAATTAGTGGAGAAGGCATACCAGATATGAAGTCTTTATCTCTCATTGTTCAAAAGTTATGGTAAAGATTAATGTTGACAACAGAGAAACAGATACACAGACAAAAACAATATACACTCCGGGCGCATAAAAATGTTTCAAACTATGTCTATATAAAAAGAATAGACATACAAATCCTAATTTGAACGTACCGTCCATCCCCCTCCATCTGTTGTCATATCACAGTAAACTTCCACTGGTCTGGTCACGGGGAAGTAGGGGTATATCGTGTACACCCCTGTACTGGTATAACCCTGCTGATGTAGTTGCTTACAATCCATGCTTCTATTTCCAGCTGGAAATTAAACTTTAAGGTAAAACATGTACTATATCATTAAATGATGCCATGATTTTTTTTCATCCATGTCTGTTTTAAATTTATATTTCTCTGATAGGGAATTCGGGGATTAAAATAGCATAGATATATAAAAATGTTAATGACATTCAGTGAATTTGCCGTTTGAAAACTTTATCATAGATCAATAAACAATACTCGAATCTCTATCGCTCTTTCTGATATTGCTTTAGTTTTGAATAAGGAAGAAATTTTGGATACCAAAATGCATACTGTAAACGTCTTTAATTTCTCATGTTTAAAATGTCTCGGTTTGTTAGAAAGTTACCTTTCACGGTGGTTTTAATTTCACGGTGAATCGTTTATAAATGTTCAGGTGGTATGTCTGTTTTTTGCCAGAATTTAATAAAATAATTATCATGATGGTTTAAAGTTCGCGGAAAATTCCTAAATCGTGAACATAGTGAAATTAAAAACACCGTAATGTATTCCTTTTCTACACAGTATGCTACATCCATATACGAGTGCCCAATACGCTTAAGAACGGTTGTGTTCTTTTAAAGGTCTTCATACCTGATATGTTCGATGCTGTTGTCGTAGTTGTCAATTTTGTTGTTGGTGTTGTTGTCATCGATGTTGTTGTTTCCTTTGTTGTTGGTGACATTGTTCCTGTTGTAAACGTTGTCGTCTTTTCTGTTGTAGTTTGCGTTGTTTTTATTGTTGTCTCTACCATTGGTGGCGTTGTCATTATTGATGATATCGTTGTAGTCGGTGTTGTTATCGTTTCAGTTAATTTTGAGGTTGTTGTTTCTGAAATTCCTGGCGTCATCGATGATGCATCCTGATTCAAATCTACGCATTTTCAAAAACAAAAAAATTACAATATTTTGTTATTTAGACTTTTAATTAAATAATTTTCAGTGACGTGTACTTTACCTTAAAAGTATTTTTTTTTTTAGTTTTTGTTCATCTTTAATTAAAAAGGGGAAAATAATGCATTTATCTATGATATACGGTCACAGCACAGACAAATCAATAAGAAAGGTTTACGCCTATGGTTAAGAAATAATAAGAAACAACAAAATCAATAGATATACACTGTAAGGGCTGTATTGAGAAATTACAGTCGGAGAAGAATTGGCCATCTCTTACAAAAGCCAACGAACGATATCACAAAAGTGACATAAATATTGACTCCGGAAACGAAATGGAGGATGAAAGTCCGACCAAACACAACATGGAGGATAACAGTTGAGAAAGAACTGAAGGACATAAATATTACCATTAGGAAGGTGGAGAAGACAGCCGTTTAGTTTCGAACAAAACCTATATTTAGAAACTGGAATCTTCTGATTTTTTTTTTAAATTTTCAACAACAAAAAATCAGAATAGAGTAAGGAAAAGAAAACGCAATGTTTTAAAACTCGTTTCTATTAAAAATTTTAATACTGTAGTTAGATAAGGAAAAACAATCAAAAACTCTAAAATCCACCTGTTGATATCTGTGTGTTTTGATTAGGTTCTGGTTTATCTACAAGAAAAAAAAAATAAAGCACTATGAGAATGAAGTTTACAGAATCGGAGGCTTTTTAGCGTTATTAAGACCATTTAATCTGGTTCTATAAAATAATTTTATTAACCTTTGTTGTTTAATACAAGAAACACGATAGTTCCTACGGAGGAGACGGTTATAATAAACAAGAAGGAAATACAGCAGACGAGAAGAGGTCGCTTGCTACGTTTGGACTGTTTCCTATCTGGAGGTTTTGGGACGGGTGGTGGCTGCTGAAAGGACGTCTAAAATTTGAAATTATACACAGAATCAATCCATTGTTTACTAATGACAGTTCATGCTTTTTGGTTAGCATGTATAATTATTCAATTGCAAAACAATACAATAACATTACATTATATATTTTTCCCTTGAATTTGTATAACCTGATTCAGTATTTTTTTTTAAACTTATTTTTTCAACATCTCTTAATTAAAACTGTACTGGGATGTTTAACATACTTCATAACTAATTAAAATGATGAACTGAACTGTTTTTTGCAAAAAACCAATAAAAGGTTGTAATAATTTTTAAAGCGAAATAAGTTATTGACAAACAAGCTGATGAAACAAAAATATCAACAGTCTTCTGTAAAGTTACCAATTTGTAATTTCTATGGTCGATAAACGGAAATACAATTTATACTCAAGTCAATTTCGGAATGACTTTTTTCATAAAAATCGTTAGACCATTATTTACGCTTTGATTTGTCGACGGATGTTTCTGTTACTCAGTATTTTTCCTATCAAGACAAGAAATGTACAGCGTACATGACCGTTAGCAGGGGAAGGTCACTCCTCCTTGTTACCTTATCCCACCTTTTGTGTTTAAGGGTCAGTGTTTGCTCTGTCCCTGAATTGTTTTGTTTCTAACGGACTTTTAAGCTTTAATACGGCTAATTATCCCCATTTATTTTATGCGTACGTTTATACTTACGCTAATGGTATTCTGTACACGTGTGATTTTCTGTGCCTGGTTTCGCAAAGGATGGACAACTTGTACTGGTTTCTCGTACAGCGAGTCCGATAAACCGTAATCCTGAAAATAAGAATCTTATTCCTATATGATCATACAAAATATTTTTAAACTGCAGTTTTTAAAAAAAAAAATTACAGATAACAAATAAGTCGAATGTACGCAAACATAAAAGAGGAGTTTGATTGTAGTGCAAATATTTAAAGGATTTGTTTTTTTGAAAAGCCACTGAAGTAAAAGGAATTTCGATTAAAGCACCAAAGACTCCCGCAGATGTGAAGTTTGGCGACAAACTGCCAATTTACATTTTAATAATAATTACTTTTGCCATTTTCCAAATACTTAAGTAAAATTAATTTATATATTTTAACTGTATCAGATTAAAAAATCTTGAGGAAAGTATTGTTTTATGGACTTTGAGATTACATACTGATCGTTACGTGTATCTCTATATCCTTCGATTCGAAATTCCAATTTGAAATTACTAATAAATTCTTTGATTTTATGCGTATTAAATTTTATTCTGCCGAAATCTTTATTTCCCTTTAAAGTACCTAATCTTTGCAATACAAGTAACTGTTCTGACTTAATTGTACCCAGGGAGTCATTTAGCATTCCTTTACAATGAATTTATCGTCCTACATACAGAATAAATGTTTTCATGGTAACTTGACTCCATGAAGCAAGAATGTCTTTTAAAATCATTCCTTACCTGCTTTACCTTTATTTACGCAAGGTTTTTTTTCAATACTAGCAATTTGTTGAGGCTCCGAGGGGATTTACCTGATTTAACCATTCAAGATTAACATTTACACATTGAAAGAGATGTATGAAAACGAAGGTCAGACAAAAATGAATTGTGACATAATAATACTTTTAATAGACAAAACTCACGGAGTTAGGGTATCCCGGGTGTGGAATGTCATCTGGCGTGAAGTATTCATGATCCGATTTAGCTGACATCGAAAGGAGCTTCATACAGAATATGACAATAATAAATATTGTAACAGTAGACAATCAATATGAAAATGACTACGACATACAACATTCTTATACATGTACATACAGGTGTGTAAGGAATGAAAAGAAATAAATTAATATTTTTGACTGGGATTAATTTTGATTATTTATGTGTTCTAAAAATTATCTTTTCTGCTTTTTACTTACATGTTCTTCTTAGAAGTATAAGTTGGACACTTTTGATTTAAACAATAATTATCCATTGACAAATGCAACAGCTCAGGTAGCCTAGTAATTATAACATACAATTAGTCTACAGGCACGTAGCATCGTTTTTGAAAGGGGGGGGGGCAGAGAAATTTTCTTTTTACTTACCTGCAAAAGTTGACAAGCAACAAAAACAAAACAAAACAAAAAAAACAAAAAAAAAAAAAAACAAACTCGAAAATCCTATTCCGTGTGTGTGTGTGTGTGTGGGGGGGGGGGGGTGGTTAGTGGCCAACTTTTTCCAATGCCAACTTCCTTTTACTTCTATTTTTTGGCATACCATACTACATTTCCTATATATCACTCTATATTGTGGTAAAAAGTGGGGGGCGGGGGGGGGGGGGCAACCAAACGGTGCCCACCTTGCTACTTCAAGGGTCTAAATTATATAAAGGTCGCAGATGTCATATAAATTAAATACAGTCTTTAGAAAAATGAAATTTACAATGCGTTTGAAAAATCCTCTAAAATCCATGATGGCTTACCGCTGAGTCTCGTATTCTGTCATAATCTGACGACTTTAGTTCCAAATATGCATTGTATGGACTTCCATCAACGTTTTTTCCATATTCCTTAATAAGGAAAGTACATTATTATTATTAAAAACAGGCAAAAAATACTCTGGTTGTAATAGAAAGTGGTAATTTAATTCTTTTAGAAAATGTTAAGTAAGTATTCAAAATAATAAACGTACATGGACTTGATTGTTTGTATTATTCTCGGAGGAACATTTGACATAACCTGAATCCGACAAGCTCTGGAAGATAAAATGTAATGCCAAGAGAAAGAAAACGATAGAAAGAAAATCAGAAATATTAATCGTGATGTAATTATTTGAAGTTAAGAAACAGATAAAGTGGAATAAACGTGAAAAATTCGATGAGCTTTTACCTGTGATGAATCCATCAAAAGTTATTGTTTGTTGTTGAATATGCCCAAGTCCTTGGTAACTGTAAAATAAAGCAATGAGAGAGAGAGAGAAAGAGAGAGCACAGTTAATACATTTATATACATTTTCCCTAATTATTTTGTACTGGAAATATATAATTAAAAATATATTTTTAAGGAAAGAAAAAAGAAAAGTATGTGACCTACCCGATTCTTGTTTGATAGAAATCACAGAATCATCACTTCCTGGTTGTATTGAACCTTAGTTATTATGAAATATCTTTAATTTAAATATTCGCGTACATGGAGAATGGAGTCCACTGAAATTTCAATCGTAATTAGAATTTTCGTCTAAGGAATGTCGTGGATCTTTAAAGAGAATGGCCCTGCTCTTCTTTCCTTAAAAAAGTACACATGTATTGTTCTACAGAGAAAAGATTTAAGTATTTTGAAACTAACTATGAAGTTTAGGTCCAGTTCACACGAAGACATGCCACCAAAAAGATTTTTTTTTACAGTTTTTGATACTTCCACTATTGTAAAGCGACCATCGATTACACGACCTTTTATATCAGGTGCAATTTGTGTTTGCTTAAAAGCAGAGATTTTTTACCGTGTCTGCTGATTTCATAGACAAAAATATGAATGATTGACACGTTTTATTCAACATATAAAACATTATTTAAATTGCACTGCAGATTCAACATAAATAGCAAATTTCAGTATCCGTTCAGTAATCAAGACAGAAATCCAAATGAACAAAAAAAAAACCTTCAACGATTTATTTACACAAACACAGGATTATTATGAAGTCCTCGTGAGAACAAGTTAAAAATTCGAATTTGAACTTAGAGGGTTTATTTTAACTAAGCATGTATGATCCAACAGACAACTATGGATAATTAATATATTTATGATGATGAGAACAAAAAAAAAATACAAATACTGAATCTTTTTCTATTTAATTTCAGTTTTCCTTTGAAAATAATTGTAGCAAGAGCCTTGCTTTTGAGTCAATATTCCTGAAATTACCAATTTTTTTTTACAATCTCAAATTCCCGTTTATGAATCGATCATGTGATAGCAATCATAGCATCATACTTCTCCACAGTGTAAAGTATATTTGCTGGTTATTGTTTTTTTTTCTAAAATAAAATTGCATCTACCTTATTATTTCGCGAGAAGCACCACACGCGATGGAAAATTACTTGCTTTTTTTCTTAAGGTATTGAAGTCGATGTTAAATCTTTTGATTAATTGTCTATTCTCAATTTACTATCCTCTCTAATTGACGTTGAAGAGCACTTTGGCGATTAAACTCGCAAAAAATAAGGAATCGCCAATATTAAATACCATTCACAACCGCTAGACTCCATTGAAAATTACAATGAGATTGAACTTTGAATAAATGACTCTTTCACCATCCAGTCGTATCATACGTTGTAGAATAGCGCATATTGTGTGTCCTCGAAGGCAGTGTATGGTTGTGTTGATTGTCCGACAATATATGCATTGCAAATTTGTAATAGTAATGTCGCCTACGACAATATGTGCAGAGGCGAAAATATGCATTATCACATTAAATTTCATTTGCTTCAAAATCTTACGTACAGCCGTAAGGTAGTACACAATAGAGAATATAAGCCATATTTTCCTCATATTCAATTTTTCTGAAACTTTGATATTTTGTTCTTGAATACAAAATCTCTCTTTTTATTATACCTCTGTTTATTTTTTCCATATAAAAATAAGACGAATAAACATGCTATTTTTTCTAAACAGTCTCTACCGTGAAATAGTTTTTGTGCTATTTGCCATGGTGAATAGTTCTCAAACTATTCAACGGCAGCATTCGATTTCCCTCGCTTTTCATCTCTGAAAACTTCTGATTTTACATGGATTGTGACGTACGAGGGGTTATCAAAAAGTTCGTGGACTGGCGCCATAAAATTAAAATCGCTTTAGGTACATAAATGAATTTTAGAATATCTGGTTAGCATTATCTTTTCTATCTATAAAATAAACCGCAGATCATAAATTTTATTTTAAGTAAATTAGTAATGTTTTTGTAAGCTATGGTATGTCCAGGCGGCGCAACCTCGAATACGGCGTTTTTTCGACCGAAGCTTAACTAAGAAAAACTCTTTTGATATGAACATTTGACATCCAAAAATCTGATTAATTCAGGTATATGTTGGGATAGTATTGCTTCATAAAATATGAAGTTTTCAATTCATTCTGAAAGTACTAAGAAAATTTATCGTAAATTTGACATTGATGTCTAAACAAATAAGTCCTTGAAAATGACGTCAAAAGGGGGGAGGGGTTTCATTTTCCAACATTCTATAAAGTTTTGGCCCTAGAAAAAGTGGTATAGACCCAGGAAATGTTTAAACTGGCTATGGAGAAATTAAATGCATTCAGAGTACTTGTTTTTTAATGCAAAAGAGGTTCAGAGAGGAAAGGGATGCACAGTTAATGTCGATTCTTAGTCAAGGTGTGAAAAATAATTCACGTCAAAAAATGACGTTGATCATATGTTGTAGATATTAAACTCCCAAAAGCAAAATATGCTGGCACAATCGAGCGAGGATTTCTCCCAATGTATCAATCCATTTGCAATATTATATGCATTTAAAGCCGCTGTTCCTGACATTGTGTAGTCATAACAAGAGGTCCATGGGCCACATCGCTCACCCGAGCATTGTGGCTAGGAAAAAGTAATAATTGGTTTACTATTGAAAAGTTTGAATCCAAAAGTTTGGCCCCACTCTACCCCCGGGGGTCAAGATTTAAACAAACTTGAATCTACACTACCTGAGGATGCTTCCATATAAATATGAGCAATTATGGCTTTGCTATTCTTGAGAAGAAGATTTTTAAAGAATTTTCCTATATATTTCTATATAAAACTTTGGTCAGCCATTGTGGCCCCGCCCTACCCCCGGGGGTCATGATTTGAACAAACTTAATTCTACATTACCTAGGGATGCTTCCATATAAATATGAGCAATTATGGCTCTGCTGTTCTTGAGAAGAAAATTTTAAAAGAATTTTCCTATATATTTCTATGTAAAACTTTGGTCGGCCATTGTGGCCCCGCCCCACCCCCGGGGGTCATGATTTGAACAAACTTGAATCTACATTACCTGGGGATGCTTCCATATAAATATGAGCAATTATGGCTCTGCTGTTCTTGAGAAGAAGATTTTTAAAGAATTTTCCTATATATTTCTATATAAAACTTTGGTCGGCCATTGTGGCCCCGCCCTACCCCCGGGGGTCATGATTTGAACAAACTTGAATCTACACTACCTGAGGATGCTTCCATATAAATATGAGAAATCATGACTTTGCTGTTCTTGAGAAGAAGATTTTTAAAGAATTTTCCTATATATTTCTATGTAAACTTTGGTCGGCCATTGTGGCCCCACCCTACCCCCGGGGATCATGATTTGAACAAACTTGAATCTACACTACCTGGGGATGCTTCCACATAAATATGAGCAATTCTGGCTTTGCTGTTCTTAAGAAGAAGATTTTTAAAGAATTTTCCTATATGTTTCTATATAAAACTTTGGTCGGCCATTTTGGACCTGCCCTACCCCCGGGGGTCATGATTTTAACAAATTTGAATCTACAGTACCTGGGGATGCTTCCATATAAATGTGAGCAATTATGGCTCTGCTATTCTTGAGAAGAAGATTTTTAAAGAATTCTCCTATATATTTCTATATAAAACTTTGGTCGACCATTGTGGCCCCGCCCTACCCCCGGGGGACATGATTTGAACAAACTTGAATCTAGACTACCTGAGGATGTTTCCCCATAAGTTTCAACTTTCCTGGCACAGTGGTTCTTAAGAAGAAGATTTTTAAAACATACCACCAAATTTTCACTAATTCTCAATTATCTCCCCTTGAATAAGGGCATGGCCCTTCATTTGAACAAATTTGAATCCCCTTCACCCAAGGATGCTTTGTGGCAAGTTTGGTCGAAATTGGCCCAGCAGTTCTGGAGAAGAAGTCGAAAATGTGAAAAGTTTACGGACAGACAGACAGACGGACAGACGGACGCCGGACAAAATGTGATCAGAAAAGCTCACTTGAGCCTTCGGCTCAGGTGAGCTAAAAACAAGACGGGTTTAAGTCCTTACTCAACTCCAGGGAATCTCATCAGATTAAGTGTATGAGGTAGAAGAAGCGGACATTGAAAAACAATGACGTTGTGGGACGTCATGAAACTAAACGGCGACGGCGCCGGGTAACCATATAATGTCTTTTTTATTTTTTCATGTTTTAGCAAAAAAAGAACGAATCAAGCTAAAATTTTCATTATTTCTTTATTTTTTGTTGCTTTATGTCCCTTATAAATTTTGAAAGTATAGACTGCATAGTACTAATTTTATAGCCTCAGTCCACGAACTTTTTGATAACCCCTCGTATATATGTATTATGACCTAACAAAAGTAAAGTCAGCATCGGTATAATAAAACACCTATTTACTGACTATTCGGACAAAAGCAAGTTTATGTTGTTTGAAATATAGCCTACCAGACCCCTGTAAGAAGATTTTGAAATCAGAAATTGGACAAAAAATGAGCCTTATTTCAAATTTATTAATTGATCTATTGCAAACTTTTTTAACCCTGTTTATAAAGACAACCCTCTTGTTACTTTAATTCAGTAAACTATATAACACTGGCATATTTGAGTAAAATATGAAGTCAAATAAGAACACACATAGAGTCGGAATTGAAAATTTAAATGTTAATATTCTACACTTAAAGTTTCCTGAAGTGAAAATGTCAATTTTAATTACGAAAAATCAACACAATGATTCAAATGGGTCCCAGAATTGAATGTGTAAAAGTACAGAAAATTGAACTAGTGGTTTCAAACATTTTTGTGATTAAAAAAATTAATGCCAACAAGCTAAAAGATTCAGCAAATGACGTCTCACTATTTGACCTTAGACCTCTTGATATATCCTTTACCTTTTAACATGTAGTACCTAAAGAATGAAGACTATCCAAATATTAGCCCTCTATTGTTTATGGAGCAAAATTTATACTGCATTTAATAATTGACTGTTACATGCTTGTATAATTATTGCATTTAGACAGCACAAACACATTCTAAAATGTAAAATCCACAGTGAACAATGTATATGATTCTTTAAATTTTCTCACAAAACATGACGAAAACATGGCACAACTTATCATTTTTCTTACAGTAATTAATTTTTGTCACTATAGTAATAATTTTCATTTTCCCGGTATAATTTTTAAGAAATGAATATTAATAGAATTTATGGGTGTTTTGTAGTAGTTACCTTAACATTCTGTTTCTTTTATCTTTTTTTTGAACGTTACAAAAAACCTTAATACATAGGAGTTATTACAATATTGTTGAAGAGCTGAATTCTTTTTTAAATCACCATTATAATGATTGTTTAATTAAAAAATAATAGCTCTGCAAGGTAATTTAAGTTTAAAAATCAATCAAAATAACTATAGTAAGTATCTGCCAATCTTCAAGTCAAACTCTGCGAATCATCATAAACGAAGTTTTTACACCACTAAAGCTATTTGTCAATGTATACCAAAAATTACAATTCCCAGGTTGCACACAAGTTCCGTTCCCGTACATTCCATTCAAATTTGCCCACGTGCATTCATTATGCCACCAGGCACCTTTGCGAGCCACTGCACAGCTTTTTGGAGCAGAATCATTATCTACGTCACGTGTGCTGAACTTGTGTCCATTTGTATTGGTTGTTCCAAAGCTTTCCATGGAATCCCCTTAAATTATATTGAGTTTTCGAGATAAATAAGTTATAAAAAAATTCTAACGGTCTTTAAAGAACATTTAATCAATTCTTATCAACTGAGTAAAATGTCAACTGAGGCAAAACGTAAATAATTATTTTTATGATATTGAACAATCTGTTCAAAAATTCTGCGTGATCACCGTAATTTTTTGAAATAATATCCATCGTCAAGCAATGTTGACCGTTGTTACGTTGGAGAGCGTGGTCTCATCATTCAACGTGTAAAAGTGTTTTTAACAAATGTGTCTATTCGACGAATCAGATTCAATTACGCAGTCATGAAAGTATAATACAGTATATCCATCCATACAATAAAGTCAATCTTGGTTGTCTTTCATGTATAAAAAAAGATCTAAAATTTGCTATATTTCCAGACCTTAACCTTAACTTATCTTGTCAATATGCCTCCACTAGCTCACCTGCATTCCCCTGATATGATCCAGATTGGAGTCTCAACCTAAAACCATCTGTTTCGTTGGAAATCACGAAATCATTATATTTGGCATAGTACCAACCCCCGATAAATCTTTCTAAACGAACATAGAAATCGGACGTTCCAAGCATCGTCAGCTGATGTAAGTGATCATTTCCTGTAGGACATATATAGTATGATAATATTATAGGATTTAAAAATACAATACATTTTCCTTAAAGTTTAATGAATATTAAAACAAATTATGTTATTTTACTAAAAAATCATTGAAATGGAACAAAAATTAAACCATGATCTGTAACTCACACACCAAATATCGGCTCAATTTCTGCAAGTATTCAGAAAAAAAGTGCATAAAAACCATTTGAAAATTTAAAAGGTCGTAATTCTCTCAAAAATCATTGAAGCGAAACGAAATGTAAACTATATCTGAACCTTATCAAGATACATTCACGTACTAAAAATCAGCTCAATAGCTGCACACACGTTTTAAAAAAGAAAACCAAGTTGGACAGACTGACATAAAGACAGAGGGACAGATAGACGGACGAACATACTCAGGAGAAACCTAAAGACCTGTCCTAGTTTCACCGGTAGGGGAATAAAATGCGTAATGAAAATGTTATGAAAAATTATTTAAAACGTTATAAAATGTGTTTCTTAGACCCCTACCAGTCAGTGGCGGATCCAGGATTTGGTGAAAGGGGGGGCCCAGAAGGCCGGGGGTCTGGGGGCCGCCTTAAGGCCCCCAGTGGGTCCAGGGCAAAGCCCTGGTGGGGGCCCAGGGGGCGAAGCCCCCGGAAGCTCCTGGGTTTTGCTAGTTTTTAAAGATATTTTTTGAGCTATTCCAGCTATATTTTTCACATTATAACACAAATAAAAACTAACAAAAAATGATTATTTGCATGTATTGTCAAACAAGAAAAGCAACTATGTATGAACATCAAGAAAGTGGGTATGCCAGTTGAAGTCGTCTAGGATGTTTTGATGCAAAGATGTCAATAATTTTATCGTAATCAAGTTGCAAATCACGATGGATATATAACAACATCAGTGAATTAAGGCGATCTTCTGACATAACACTTCGTTTTTTGGTTTTCACATCCTTCAAGCTTGAATGACTTCTTTCCACAGAGGTAGCTGATACTGGCATTAGAAGGAGAAGTCTCAGAATTGTAGAAATGTTTGGGTAGAATTTGGAGTTGGTTTGTTGAATAGTAGATCTGAGATTGTCAGGCAGTGACATAGACAACTCTGGGTTGGACCATTCCCTTTTCCATAACTGAATTTCACTGAAAAATTGTTCTTTGCATGGCAGATCGTTTTCAAAATGATCTACAATTGAACGTACTTGCTGATCATCAAGTAAATGCAAGTTTGAAGGAATTAAACTAAGAGCCTTTGATGTTATTGCATTTGCTGTTGAAAAACGAGATTTCAGTTCAGACAGCAAATGGTCAAGGTAAGGGAAAAAGACTGATCTACAAAAGTACTGTTTTGGGGTATCTGCTGAAACATTATTTCTTGTTGTTTGTCTGTTGCACATTCTTGGGACTCCTAAGGTTGTAGATACTTTCTTAGCCATAATCTCTGACTCAGCCCACACTTCATTAAATGAATGGTCACTGTCTCTTCTTATTTGCTCCAGCTCTTGTATGACAATGTTGACTTTCTGAAAAGCAGATATAATGTCTTGGGTTGGTCCTTGAAGAAGTCCACTCAATGATTTGAGGTATCCCGAAAACTTCAGATATACATGTATCGCAACAATCCACTTCGAACTACAAAGACTTGATAGTAGCCCATTAGACTCTGTGATACTCTTTACATCCCAGCCATTTTTCCCATAAACAATATTTGTTAAACAATCAGTCAGGGCTTCGTATGCATGTGCGATGTTTTGAACAGTTGTGTGCCTTTCAATCCATCGAGTTTCACAAAGTGTTTTTATTGATTTTGATTTTATCTTTTCTCCATCTTCCTTACTTGTTGCATTCACATTATCAACAAATGTTTGAAATGCATGTTGTCTCTTTGGTGAAAATTTGAAAAATAATCCGATTTGTTTGCACGTATCTAACATGATTTGTATTTCTGGTATTCTACAAGATTTTGAAACAGCCAGGTTCAGATCATGATTCATGCAATAATAATATTCTGCTCTTGGAAACAAACGTTTTATCCTGCTGGCGCATCCTTTGTTTGCTCCAGCCGTATTCCCAGCACCATCATATGACTGTGAACGACATTTGTTCATATCTAAACCTAAAGAGCTGACAGTTTTAATAATTTGTTCAGACAATGCCTCACCAGTCACACTTTCACATACGACATATTCAACAAATCTTTCCACAGGTACATCATCTTCAAGATATCTTATCACCAATCCTAACTGCTCTTTATTAGACACATCAGAAACTTCGTCAGCTTGAATTCCAAAAAAGTCATTGTACTTTTGATGTTTCACTCTATTGACGATCTCACGCTGCAAATATATTTTTACTGAATCCAAGAGTTCATTTTGCGTAGTTTTAGATGAATATTTGGCATTCTTCGCACATGATTGAAGATGCTCCTTAAGTTCATCTTCTCCTAAGTGACAACAAAGCTTCAATAGTTCTTTCAAATTCCCCAAATTTGTATTGTCGTCACATGTATCATCGTCACGATGGGAACGTAGTGGAATACCCTGCCGACCACAGAATTCGACACACTTGAGGATAGAAGTTAAGATTTTTCGATTTTTTGCAACCTGAATTTGCAATTTAGTGTCTAAAATATTGTCAATTCGACACGATGAATTTTTGTAAGTTTGAAGAAAATGACGCATTACATCTGCAGACGATTTGTGATAGTGACATTGAGAATGATTCTTCAAATCTGCCACAGCATCCTTCCAATTACGATATGGCTCAGTAATTAACTGCTTAGATCGCAAGCCTTCTTTTGGGAAGAAAACGCAAGCTAAACAGTAGACGCCATCATCTATTGTTGAGTATGAAATGAAATCAAATTGCTGAAACCATTGATGCTGACAAGACCTCAATCGAAATCCACTTTTCTTTTTTTTGTCGACATATTTTTTCGATGGGAATTTATAATTCTCTGGGGGCACTCGGTTTGCTATTATGGTGTTTTTCATTTCATCATTCATGGTTTCTAATGGTTTAACACCAAAAGAAATGGTATCTGTGAGAAGAATATCCTCAGGTATTGACTGTGAAGGCACAAAAGTCTTTGGGATTTCCTTTTCGTTTACCAGGCCACATGGATCTCGAGCTGGATCATCTTTTTCAATGTTATCTGAGATTGTTTTCGGTGACGGTCGAGATTTAAACAAATCACTTATTTTTGGCTGGAAAACTTTCTTTTTGGGTGAAGATGATGGTTCAGTTAAATGATCGTCATTGAACTTGCGTTTTTGTTTTCCAACTATGGTCCATCCCAAATCTTTAATATCCAAGAGGACAAAGTGATTTGGCTGAAAAGCTACATTTGGTGTATTGTCCAAATTCCCATCTCTTGACCAAAGAATACTAATAATATCAGAATCTAGGCATTCTTCTCTTGGGTTTATCAAGCCATGCATGAGAGGTCTAATACCGAAATTGCACTCAGGATAGACGGCAAAAATGCGTTTTCGTAATACAGAGCTAACTGCAAATATTTGTTGCAAACCTGACCAACATCCCTCTATTAAGGTTCTGTTTGCTTCCTCTTGAACCGCAGATTTTTTACATCTTGTGTCATTAAATAATTTATCAGCCTCATCAGAGAGTGTAAATGAAAATAGTGTATTCTGATCTTGCGTCATTATTTCGCGATGCTTGGAACTTTCAGTGAGTTTTGGATGATTGGCATAAAATTCTGAATACAAATGCAGTTCGCATGCTGTTGCTACTCGTAACGTTTTGCTTAGGGATTCATCACCTGAAAAGAAGATATATATGCCGATATAGAGCATGAATATGTTTAACATAATACTGATCGATTGATTGATTGATTGTATATTGTTTAACGTCCCTCTTGAGAATTTTTCACTCATATGGAGACGTCACCGTATGCCGGTGAAGGGCTTCAAATTTAGACCTATACTCGGCACTCAGGGCCATTGAGCAGTGAGGGTTCTTTATCGTGCCAGCGCCTACCGTGACACGGGACCTACGTTTTTAAGGTCATATCCGAAAGACCCATGACTTTCACTTCTAGTGCCGAGCGCTTGGCGAAGGAACAGTCACTACCTTTGTTTACGTCTTAGAGTATGACGCGGCGCCACGAACGAGAATCGAACCCGGGCCTCCCGATTAATACTGATCGAATAAAATCATCAAAACTATTTGATAAATTATACCATAATGATAATTATTTTAAACAATTTTATTACTAAATAATAAATCGTTAAAGACTAGTCTCAAAGGATATGCGAGCTCTTAATATAAAGGGGAAATTAAAAAAATATTATTTATTATATACACATGATAATTTCAATTTTTGTTGCTATTTGTAATACTTGTACCCGATACTTGAATCAATCATTTAAAAATAAAATTGTTAATAACATATTAATGAAAAATATTTGAACAAACTTCTGGTCTTTCAATTTCAAGTTATCTAATTACAGACTGCCCGACGCAAAAGTTCAGATATCTAAATTTTGTTGCATGTATCAAAAGCTTTACACATTTTTTTAAGATGCAATAATTGTTAACAGATATCGATATATCAGAGAATATCTAGATTTCATTGAAGAAAACGAGTCTAAGAGAAATATGTATTGATTCATTACCTGTCAACGCAAGTGAAATTGCATTAAAAAGGCAATTCCCGTTCCCAGTTGTCTTAATGGGGTCAAGCACACCATCCTCCCCTAGTATTTCCTTAATATCCCCAGGCAGCAGTGCACGGGCCAGGTTGTCCTCATCAGATTTTTTTCGAGTTTCTTTAGAAGAGTTTGAGAGTTTACTCTCAATTTCCTTCAATGAACTTTCATAGATCGAATGGTTCATTTTTAAGTTAAACTTCGGAAAATATTATAAATTGAGTTAACTGAACTCACTATACACAATCACGGCTGAATAGAGAGGTGTAGTTAATACAAAAGGGAAAACCCATACAATCATTAATTTACAGGAGTGAAATTAGGGAGAGCTAAATGTAACATTTAAGAAACACATCACTGAGATCTAAGTCATAAATTTGATAACCCGCATGGGTAAATGGCATTAATTGATATCCTGAAACACGTTACAGGAAAGAACTGTCAACAGTTAGAAACTAACAACACATTCTATAATGAAATGAAACAACTGAACCCCAGCCATATGTAGTGTATATTTCATTCACGACTTTGAATTCAACATTTTTAGCACACAAAGTGTCTAATTTTATCTCATTTTTTCATAATTAGTTCTTCTTTTTTTTTCTTTGTGATCACAAAAGGGGGGGCCCGGGCCCCCCGGGCCCCCCCTCTAAATCCGCCACTGCCAGTTAAAGCGGAAGTTACAATATGTTTCCCATGAGTCTGTCTATCCGTTTAGCTGATCCTCTGTCTGTCTATCTGTTTGATCCAATTTTCTGCACATCATTTTCTAAAGACTTTCATATATTGAGCTGATTTTTTGTATATGAGTGTATCATTATAAGTTACATATAAAGATTTATTTCGTTTTGTACTTAACTAATTTTTAACGACATTTAGACCTTTTCAAATTTTCAGGGATTATTTTCCGTCTTTTGTCTAAATGCTTGCAGATATTGAGCTGATTTTTGTAATGTAACATTAACTTGATGAGTTAATTATAGATCAAATTTGCATTTCTTTCCGCTTCAATAATTTTTGACTGAATATATAGCATTTTCAATTTTCAACTTGGGATTAAGAACGCTTGCCGGTAGGAGACTAGTATTGCTAATGTAAAACGTTCAATATATTTTTTTTGTTTGTGTTTTTAAACGTTTTCATGACATTTAAAAAAATAATTGAACTGTAATGATTTGAAACATGTCTCTACGTTTTTAAAACATTTCGAACAATCCTTTGTAAAATATCTTTTAAGAAAGGGAATTACACATGTATATTAGAAAACATTTTGAACTTTCAACGATTATAACAGAAACGCTATAAAAATGTCTTAACGTTTTGTGACCAAGTAATTACATATTTTAATTCATATATTTATTTAGGCTAATACCGTACTCACTTTTGTTAACTTATTTCTTATTCGATTATTGAATTAAGTGAGTATGCTTCTAACATTTTGTAAAGGCTTTTGTCGAACACTCTTTGTACTCTTATTCCTGACTGGCGTATTTTTAAAATCAACTCAATCCACTTGCGCAGTAGGTCTAGGTATAAATTATTCATGTTCGATTGAAATTACTTGTCCCGCCAGCCAGTTTTCAAGGTCACAACTTCTCGAGGCCGTGCTGTCCGTAAAGGTATTTGCTTTTGAAATACTTTTCTTTTTCATGTCTTGTTATTTTTTTCATAACTTATGTTATTTTTCATTCTATTTGAAGTTATAATTATGTATTCACATGCCATTGTCGTTTATTGCTGTTAATAAAGATTTAAATGTGACCTGGTCTTGTTACTGCTCGGTTACAGTTTTTTTTTACAATGTTTTCCGTTACCATTATTACCACCGGAACTAGTGCTAATAGCACAGGCCTTTGGATCGCTTTAAAAAAAATGTGTGAGTGAAAAAAAATAAAGGTACTGAACTCTTACACTGGGTACCTAATTTCGCTAATAAAATATTTTTTATTCTAATGCTCTAAATTTTTACTTTCTATTGAAATCTATTCATAGATTAACTTCAATTCTACCAAAGCTCATTTCGAAATTCCATATATTTCCTGAGATATTTTGACATCAATTTCAAAAATGACCTACTTTCTTTTACTCAACATTAACTTGGGCCCCTGGTCAGTCACATGTAAACAGACGGTGTTTGAAGTGCGGCGAAGAGTTGAATAGTATTTGCAAAATCTTTCAACAATATAAAGTTGATTTCGTACTCCAGATTGTAACGTTAAGTCTGTAATAATATTCCTTTCGCGAAAAATTATTTGAAAACGTTTACATCAACAACTACCGCCATGTTGATTATGAATGTAAATGAATCCATGGTAGAACGAATTTTTCCCGGAATGCATTATATACCTTTCGATTTTTAAAACAATTAGACCGCTAAAATGTTGTTTGTAACTTAGTTACACCATATGATCAAATTAAAGAAAAACCTTGTAAAGCTTGAATGCAAATGAGAAAATATTCATAGAGTTTAGAATAGATTCTGGGGAAAATTTGTCCCGTCGTTCCCGCTTTACAATGAAGGCCCAAGCTGATGTCGAGTAAAAAAATTAATGTCAATTTGGGAATTGATTTCAGAATATCTCGAGAAGTATAAGGAATTACGAAATAAACTTTGGTAGTAATGAAGATTGTTTATATTTAAATAGATATGGATAGAAAGTAAAATTGTAAAGCATTTGATTTAAAAGAATTTAATTGTCGAAAGTAGGTACCCCATGAAAAGAGTTCCATACCTTTATTTTTTTTCAACACCTCAATTTTTTTTCTAAGCGATCTAAAGACATGTGGCTAATTGTAACGCGAACCGTTATAGATGTTCCCCAAACGCTCCACAACTTCATTTTGGTGCCTCATTCCCTCCAAGTTTCATCATATAAACTAAACTCTATGCATCTTAAACTTTAACAAAGTTTTTGCTAAAGTATATCATTGCAGTATATAGCAAATTTTTGCATTGCACGCACATGTGCATGCATATGCGGAATGACCAATTCATTGTATCTACACTATTATTCATTTTCATGTACTTAATATTAAGGCATTTAATCAAAAAGTATTCGAAAATACACTAAATCAAGTGCATTTGTAATTATACGCATTGCACGTGCACGCACATACATGCATGTGCTTGATGACCATACCTTCTTGTAGGGGTCCATTAGGACCATCTATGTTCTAAATCCCATCCTGTTTGGCTGAAAACCAAGGGAGTCATAGCCATTTAAAGTTTTAGCCAATCAGATTGCAGTGCACTTGCATGCGCGTGATTTCATGAAAATCATTTTATGTCATATCGTAGGATATCTTAATGCATGACTATGTTTTAAATTTCAAAGTATTTAGTTTAAAAACGAATAAGTCCTCTTGTCTATAATATTAATATATTCTTATATTCTTAGTTTCAACACATTACATCAAAAAATAGAAACGTTACGAATATATCAATTATATATTTGTCATTTTACATGTTGCACGTGCGCGCTCTACATGTCTACTTACTCTAAAAAGGTTTTACCTACATCAGATGAACAGTTTACAAGATTATTCGCGGACAAATAAGTTCCCAGGAGGAAGAAAAATAAGAAGAAGAAACAGAGTAAAAACAATATGTTCCCCAACTTCGTTTGGGGAACATAATAAACTGTTTTATGAACGATTTGCACTACCTATGATGCATTTATTTCTATCTCGTGATAAATACATTTATATATTAAAGAGATGTCTCCCAAAGCTTGTACATACCAAGCCAGTATTCACCCTTTACTTGTCCAAACCCTGATTTGTAGTCAACCCAATCCAGATAAAAGTCAACCGATCCATCCTTTCTATGTTGAAACACCTGACGAAAGAAATTACACTTTTCAATATATGTACTTTGATTTTATTGAATGCTGAGGCTTTTAGTTATTTCGTTGGATGCTTAAATGATTGTCACACCCACATGCGCAACAGCACTGTCATCCTAATTAACAGTAAAGCCTCTTCCTTCATGAATCTCTAGCAAATGGTGGAACAACCCGTCATTACTATTAAAAATCATCAATAATTAATCCTGATTCCTACCGTCCATCCCCCTCCATCTGTTGACATATCACAGTAAACCTTCACTGGTCTGGTAACAGGGAGGTAGGGGTATATTGTGTACACCCCGGTAGTGGTATAACCTTGTTGGTATAATTCCTTACAATCTTTGTACTTATCTACAGCTAAAAATAGACGAAAATTATTATGTGCTTCATCGCGTGGAAATATTCTTAAAGTACTTTGCTAATATATATAGATGTATAATTGATTTGTAGATTTGTAAATCAAGACTTGAAATGATTAGAACTCTTTTTTTTAATTGAAGTTGTTTACGATGAAATTAACGTGAATAATTTTTAAAATCTGCTTTCTTTTATCAGATTGAGAAAATTGTAAAACATAGAAAGAAATTGTAACAAGAGGCCCAGGGGCCACAGCGCTCACCTAAGCACATCGGCTAGAAAAACACATATCAGATCAGAACTGAAAGTTTACTGACTCAGAGGTAGGTGTAGGGGGGCTTGAATTTTAACCCCCAGGGGATCATGATTTGAACAAACTTGAATTTACACTACCTGAGGATGATCCCATATAAATATTATTAATCATGGCTTTGAATACTTGAAAAGAAGATTTTTACAGATTTTTCCTATATATGCCTTTGTAAAACTTTTATCGCACATTTTGGCCCCACCCTATCCCCGGGGGTCATGATTTGAACAAACTTCAATCTACACTACCTGAGGATGATTCCACATGAGTTTCATCTTTCCTGCCCCAGTGGTTCTTGAGAAAAAGATTTTAAAAGATTTTTCCTATATATTCCTATGTAAAACTTTGGTCGTCCATTTTGGCCCCACCCTACCCCTGGGGGTCATGATTTGAACAAACTTCAATCTACACTACCTGAGGATGATTCCACATAAGTTTCATTTTTCTTGGCCCAGTGGTTCTTGAGAAGAAGATTTTTCCAATATATTCCTATGTAAAACTTTGATCGGCCATCTTGACCCCACCATACGCCCGGGGGTCATGATTTGAACAAACTTCAATCTATATTACCTAAGGATGATTCCATATGAGTTTCATCTTTCATGGCATAGTGGTTCTTGAGAAGAAGATTTTTAAAGATTTTTCCTATATATTCCTATGTAAAACTTTGATCGCCCATTTTGGCCCCACCCTACCCCCGGGGGTCATGATTTGAACAAACGTGAATCTACATTACCTGAGGATGATTCCACATGAGTTTTATCTTTCGTGGCCCAGTGGTTCTTGAGAAGAAGATTTTTAAAGATTTTTCCTATATATTCCTATATAAAACTTTGATTGGCTATTTTGGCCCCACCCTACCTTCGGGGGTCTTGATTTGAACAAACTTCAATCTACACTACCTGAGGATGATTCCACTTGGGTTTCATCTTTCCTGGCCCAGTGGTTCTTGAGAAGAAGATTTTTTAAAATGCCATTAATTTTTCTCTAATTCATAATTATCTCCCCCTTGGAAAAAGGCGACTTTCAAATCTCTATTATAGCTAGAGCAAAGCTCGTTGCAAAGCAACGAGTAGGTCTTCCGTCCTGTTTGACCGAAAGTAGCTTTCATTTTTCACAAAAATGAGAAATAACGCCCAAAAATGCATTGAATCCTCTAAAGCTATGTTAAGTAATGCAAAGTAAGCCATTTTTTGCTACTTCCGGTTTGACCAGAAGTGACGACGACGGACGGAAAATTAATTTTTAAGCTCCCAGAGGCATATATTATCCAAAAACTTGTCAAAAACTGCAAAAATACGCGTTTTCCGACTACTTCCGGCCGGAAGTGACGATACTGGACGTATTTTGACGACTACATTAGATTAAGCTTGGCATTTTCAACAACTTTCCTTCTTTGATGTATAACAAATTCTCAATACTTTTTGAGATATCTGAAAAAATCTTTTGGCCCCTCTAAATCCCTTAATTTAGGGGTCAGCCCTTTTTCTGACATATCAATTGAAAGATCTTCTAATTCTGCACAAATTATGTTCCATATATTTTAACAAAATATTTTTAGTTTAGAAGATAAAAAGCAAAATATTAGTAATTTTTGTTTCTTTTAAGCGTTCTAATTTTTGACCCCTATATAGCGCCATTTTGAATAGAGAAATCGAAAAACAAAAACCGATGTGCACAACTTCTATCCTTCTATTATCTAAAATCAGTAGAATTTCTGCTCCAGCTTTAGTCGTCTCTGAGCCTTTGTCTGGAAACGAAAGCCTATAAATTTTCATTTAAAGGGGAATAACTCAAAACCGGAAGTTACTTTTTGAAATTTTAGTCAGCATTCTGATAGAGTTTATAAACGTCTATAATCTCTAAAACTTTGAGCGAAATCCGTTGAGAAATGATTGAGATATGAGGCCTCAGAGTTGCGGTCTAGGAAGTAGAAGAAAAAAAAAGAATAACTAGAGCAAAGCTCGTTGCAAAGCAAATAAAAGGTCTTCCGTCCTGTTTGACCAGAAGTAACTTTCATTTTTACAAAAGTGAGTAATAATGTCCAAAAATGGTTTGAATCCTCTAAATCTATGTTATTTAATGCAAAAATCAGCCATTTTTGCTATTTCCGGTTTGACCGGAAGTGACGACGACGGACGGAAAATGAATTTTTATGTTCCCAGTGACATATGTTACCCAAAAATTGTAAAGAATGGCAATATATGCGTTTTCCGACTACTTCCGGTTTGGCCGGAAATGACGTCGCTGGACGTAGTTTGACGACCTCAATAGATTGAGCTTGACATTTTGAACAACTTTGCTTCTTTGACGTATTACAAATTCTCAATACTTTTTGAGATATAAAGGAAAAACTTTTGGCCCCTTTTGGCCCTTAATTTTAGGGGTCAGGCCTTTTTCCTAGCTATCATTTGAAAGATCTTCTAATTCTGCAAAAATTATGTTCTATATATTTTAACAAAATATTTTTAGTTTAGAAGATAAAAAGCAAAATATGAGTAATTTTTGGCTCTTTAAGCGTTCTAATTTTTGACCCCTATATAGCGCCATTTTGAAAAGAGAAATCGAAAAACAAAAACCGATGTGCACAACTTCAATCCTTTTATTATCTAAAATCAGTAAAATTTCTGCTCTAGCTTCAGCCGTCTCTGAGCCTTTGTCTGGAAACGAAAGCCTATAAATTTTCGTTTAAAGGGAAATAACTCAAAACCGGAAGTGACTTTTTGAAATTTTCGACAACATTCTGATAGAGTTTAGTAAGTTTTAGTATCTCTAAAAATTTGAGCAAAATCAATTGAGAAATGAGCGAGATATGAGGCTTCAAAGTTGGCGTCTAGGAAGTAGAAGAAAAAAAAAGAATAACTAGAGCAAAGCTCGTTGCAAAGCAACGAGTGGGTCTTCCTTCTTAGCGATGAGCAGAAAGTGAAATGTTTCAATTGTCAATTTTGCTACCATTCTTTATTTCTTTGACCCAAATAGCAAACCCTTTCTTAAAGTCTGAATGTGGAGTGAGCACGAGGATAAATAATCCAATGGTAATCACTCCAACAGCATTGAAACTGTACCCAAAAACTTTTTCTCCCTCATATTTTAACTTTGATTTGTAGGCATATTTCATCTTCGATACAATCATGTTAGTGAAGTATGGCATACTAGAGAAATATCAGTGTTTTGATACATCACCGTCTTAAAATTTGCTTTAAAAACATTAATTTTACACAAAATAATTAGATAGTGAGTAAACCGGCCCAATGTGTAACAGATAAACTATATTCATTTTTTGTCAATCAGTTAGACGACCAATACTTTTACAAGAAATATATAGAATTGTGTTGTGTGTGTCTAATTTGCAGCCCTCCACTGGCAAATGGTGGTATCTCAATAGGAGTGTAGTAAAATTCTCTGAATAGGACATTCAACAAAGAGATATTTTGATATTCAACAAACAGATCTCCTTTTGAAAGCACTGCCCTTCATATAAACAAATTTTATCCCCCTACACTAAAGAATTCTCTGTGCCAAGTTTAACTTAATTTGTCCTGTTGGTCAAACAGAAAATGGAATTCTGAAGAATTTAAGATAAAGATGATAAAGGGTGAATTTTAATTCTAAAAAATTTACTACAGCTTTAGCTTACTGTAACATATTACATTTAGCGATGTAGTCTATTTAGCGATTTTGGCGGAAAGCAGATTCCACTAATTCAAGTACATCGATAAATGTCTTGTATATTAACTTTTATAAATAGCAACTTCAGACAGCGCTAAATCAAATCTACGCTTACTTATTGAAAATTGAATTTCCGTCAAATATCATACACGCCAAATGTAATACATTAACAGTATATGAGCAAAACTGTATACAGATTTAGTGATTTGTTGACTTTGAAATGGGACTGGACATCTCTTTGATCTTGTTTGAAACAACATGTGCATGTCCTTTGTGCTGAATCATGCACAAATGTTAATGCTTAAGTTATTTATGCAAAAAAAAACAACTTTCCTTCTATTATAATGTAAAAATATACATATTAGATCTTATATATTACTGCTGAAGACAGACCTTTTATCATCTTCACCATTAGAATTGGTATGACTCTTCCCTGGAAACGGAAGACCTCAATACAGATGTAATCATGCAAGATCTGACACACATTTAAAAAGAACATTTATTTCAAACTAAACATAGATTCTGTGACAAAATCTATTTCTCTTGAAAAAGTGAAAGCAATTGATATATTAATATTTGTGGATTTATGTCTGTTTCTCAAATCAAAATTTAATATGGTATATTTAAAGACATCTTCTTAAACTAAGACTTGACAGTTTCAATTTCATTATGCTGTTTATTCTCTGTCATCTCCCATCATATGCTCTTCTCAGTCTTGTGGCAAATCATGGCCATGCTTGGCATCAAATTTCAGTACTCAGATGACAGTCACATCCATCAAAAAGAAATTGAAAATTTTTTATTGAATTTTTTTTAAAAAGTGCAACTTATAAGATACTGTCACATTTTCTGCATGTGTATTATTTGTAAAACTACCCTATAATTATTTATGAATATAGGTTTACAGGCAGTCATTTGAGGATGTAATAAAAAAGCATATTAGTTTTTCATTATTTCAAATAAAGGAAATGTACATTACATGTACTTGTTCATGTTAATATTTATTAGGAATGGT